TATCATTCAAGAACATTGACATTAATATTAATGATTAATGAAAACATTAATTTTAAAATTAATGTTAATGTTTTTCATTAATCATTAATATTAATGAATTAAGTTTTTCTCAGAAAACATTAAGCATTAATATTAATGGTTAATGAGAAACATTAACATTAATATAAAATTAATGTTAATGGCCCACCCCTACCTGTGATTCAAACAATCTTCAAAAAAACATAAATTGTGTAATGTAAATCTCTTTGAGAGTACCATTTTTTCGTTCTATATGTAAGATTGATACTTATTTACATTGCTATTAAGGTATAAGTTCTTTCTGTTCAAGAGTAGAATACTTTCATACATATAATGACACCTGATGCATCATTGCGAGAAGAACGAATGAAAGGGAAAAGGTTCTAAAACTAAAAAGATGCCTTTAGTTAAGTCTATTCAGAACAAAATTCAATATTTGTTTCCAATGATGAGGGGATACAAAGAAAATAACATGTTATTTTTACAATTCATAAAAATTCTTGATAGTTCTGGATACCGTTCAGACAATATTTATCTTTTTCTGAAGATAAACTCGTGATCATTGTTTACTTTAAACAGTGCCAAAACATATATGTTGCAGATTAGACTTAACAAAGATTTCTGCACGAATAAACAATAGATTGATCGCGCCTGTCTAGAATAGTTATATAATTAGTAATCAATATCAGAGACCAATCATTTTGTATCAATATCAATGAATACAAACTGTAGTAATTTATTAGCTAGATTTCAGTTCTGAATCTAGTCTAAACATTATCATCATCTTATTAAATCCAATTATTAAACAACTCATTATAGGAAATCACTCCGATTTCACTTTGATGGCAAATGAAAATTTTGTATAGAAAAGTGCAAGCATAATCATTTTTTAACTTTGATATTCCATGAAACTCACGAGAACGATTGTTTTTTAAATAGTCCCCACCGATGCTATTATCTTTTATTCTACGGTGAGAAAGAATGGTCCGTGGACACAAAACATTGGTAGTACACAGGGCGGTACCATGCTTTGGATATATGGTAGTCGTTTTGCACAAACTGGTTTCAATACAGTACCTTCAACAACAAAATCCAACATCGTACAGCTAGTAGATGGTTATTCAGTTTACAATTGCACAGTGCACGATGATAAAGTGACTAATACACAACTGACATGTTATACACCGAAAATGCCTGAAGGTATTTATCAAATTCGGGTCTACGTGAAGGGTAATTTGATTCCACTGTACCAATACTATGATTCGAAAAGAGCAACATTTTCACCAATGTCAACTCAAACACCTACCATTACAGGAATTACTCCATTGACGGCTACACCACGTGCATTAATTACACTTTCAGGTTCATTTAAATCAGCGTGTTTTTCGCGTGATATGGATGGTTGTTCACAAGATAATAATCCATTAATTTCTCGGTAAGAGTAGTTCACTTTGGGCAGAAAACATCTCAAGTATTTTTCATGCTTGAAACTCTTAACAATAAGAAAACTTTTGTATGCTGCAACTAACAAATCTACTTAAAGAAACAAAAATTTCATATAGTGCCATGCCTATCATTAATTATTTGGAAAAAATGGATGGTTTCATTTCAGACAAGTCTACAGCTAAATTCATCGATATCACAATTTAGACTAAACAAAAAAGAGAAAGTCATTTCTAATTGGATGCTAGTAAATTATCTAATTTTACAGTTGTCAGTAAAAACATAAATTGAGTGTTTATTTAATTTGCTTTCATAATTCATATATTTTAGTATTTATATGGGTGGTCAACTATGTAATGTAATAAATCCAATAACTGGTGCCAAGTAATGAAATCTACCTAGATTTTATTCATATTTAAGTTATAATTTCTTAGCTATTCGGAAGTGACTGATACTAATCTTCAATGTAACTTTGATAGTAACGAAGTTGGTATGTAAAAAATGTTTTCCATCAATGTCGCAACTAAAGAATCTCATTGTGACTGGACTATTCTCTTATATATAGGTATTTTTAATATAAGCATGATTGTTACCAATGAATATGGACGTTCAATGGTTCGTTCAGATCTTTATCGAATATCTGCTACTGGACAATATTATAATTTTCAAACTTATGGAAGTCAGTTTTAGTTAACTATGATATTTCTAATTGATTAATGTTGTGATTTAATTTTCAGTTGTTTCAAATGTGTCCCCAACTGCGGGAAGTACAGCAGGTGGCACAACATTAGTTATTAGTGGTCAATATTTCAGTTCTTCTACTCAGTATCCAATCGTTGTCTACGTAGCTGGAGAAATTTGCATGATTTTGAATGTCACTTTAACGACTATACAATGTAGAACACCTGTTAGTCCATTGGTAGTTCGTAGTCAATATCAAGGTTAGTTCATATGATTAAAGAAAAAATTTGCTATATGAATGATGGTTGCTATTAGGTGGACGAGGTCTGCAAGTATTTTCTGATCGAATCATAGTTAGCCAAGTATGACAAAATTAATAATTTACTTGTGTTCTATTGTCTGTTTTGTTGCTCTAGGCTATAATGACAAGTACCAATCCACCGATGCCGAGTATAAACGCAAATCAAACATGGACTGATGATGCATCTTATGTGTCCCAATCGTCCTCAAATGAAACTGTATGGCTTATTGGATATATGCGTGTTCCAACGACAGCAACGTTCTCATTCATTCTTAAAACAAATGGCTATGGAGCTTTGTTTCTTAGCCCAAATGAAAACCCAATAAATAAAACTAAAATTGCCGATGCCACTACTGGTTATCAATCGAATCCCATTATCTTGCAAAACAATACCAAGTACGTTAAATCATAAATTTCAAGCTAAAATATTTATTTATATTAATATTTATAATCTTGTTTATAGTTACTATCTATTCGGTATTGGCGCTCGAATCGGTGGTAATTTAACTATGTCAATACAAGCAAGGATGTACGAGACAATACTAACAGCAGGAATATCAAGTTTGGTTACGAATGAAATTCAACGTATTGATATCAACACTACTGTTATCAACGAAAGACAGGTATTTAATTGTTAAAATAATCAATTTCGAGTGTATAATTATTTATCTCTCTAAAATACAGAGTCTCGTCTATACAATAAACTCAACAAGTAATGGCACATCTGAAATGCAAACAATTTCAGTTGATAATTCAATATTTCAAATTGGTTTCCGTGGTGCTTATACAGGTAATTACGTTAAAAGCTTTTTGAAAATGATAATACCAGTAATCATCCATTTGGCTATATTTAGGTTTACTCAATGGGCAACCCACAGCTGCTATTGTTCAGGCTGCTCTCAATGATTTGGCAACTATTTATCCTCTATCCGTCAGAGTACAATTGACTGGCTCGTTTTACATTATTACATTTCCAATTGAAATGGGCGATGTTCCACTACTTAACATTATTTCTACAGCCACCAACCAACCTAATATAACTGAAACAGTTCAAGGTGTCGCATCAGGCACTAAGCTAGCTTTTCAACTTGATGGGGTAACAACCAGTTATCTCGATTTGACTAATAGTAATCTTACACAATCAAACGTGACTTCAAATTTTAATCAACTCTTTTCGATTCGATGTCCAGTCTCACTCAACAATCTGCAAGCTACATCATCAATTGTTTACGTACAAGAATTCGAAGCTAATTGCGTCTATGACGAAACACGGATTACAAGCAATGCATTTTGTGGCCAATGTTCACTCATAGGAAATACACTCGTGTCTGAAAATACTCATTCAGCAAATTATCTTTGTTTTGCCTATAGAATTTTCAATTCATATGTTAGCGAAATAGGTCTTCACGTTCAAATAAATGGTGACACAATAGCAACCTATTCGACATCAATTTCGTTCAGTCCTATCGCTGACAAACTCTGGCATTATACATGTGTTGATGTACGTGCTGCACTCAATGCACAATCATCTGTGTATTCAACAGCATCGTCAATTGTTATTACTGGTGCATGGCTCAATCGAAACATTCGACAGGGAATAATGGTCGATACAGTTACAGTACGCAGTTCACTGCCTATTGGTTATGAAGATCGAAGTCTGTATCCTATCGATGGAGCATCAAATTCCAGTTCGTGTACTTTCCCATTTTATTACAATGGTCAGCCTTATTCCGCGTGTACATTAGACAATAATAATTTGCCTATTTGTGGCAATGCTCTAAATCAAACCTTTCTGTGTCAAAGTTCATCGATCGAAGGCGTTCGTCGACTCTATCCAAAACGACAATTAGTCTATAATACATTACAAGTGGCATATAACCCGATGAATTTTACTGTCAATATTTCATTTCGATACAGCGATTGCTCGAGTCCTAGTTCGATTTCCACATTGCCTGCCGCAGTAAGTCGAATCTTTTCTAGAGGAAAAACATTCATATGATATGGTAATCTTTTAGAGTTCCATAGTAACTTCAATCACCCAAGCATCTCCCGCCGCCAATGGAACATTTGATCTAACTTTTGATGGACAAACCTATTCATCGATACCAGTCAATGTTGATCCAACAGAATTATCCAATAGGCTTCAAGCATCATCGGATTTTGGTTTTCTGAATGTTACGCGGTTGCGTGACTGTACAGGCTACTCGTACACAATAGAATGGTTAACAAATGGTGGTCAAAAATCGGATATATCAATTTCGAATGCCAATAGTGTAATGCCCATAGGTACAACTGTAACCGCATCAGTGATGAAAAGAGGTGGCGTCCTCTTCAATCCTCTACCAGGTGATATGACACGTACATATCATACAATCTCTCAGGTCACTTCTATTATATGTATATAGTGTGGTTTTTAATCAATATTAATTTATACAGGTCGAGGTTTTGGTGGGTGGGTATCCATCTAAATGTGCGAATACAAATAATAACTGTCAATTTGAATGGTCATCATCGCAAACTCCAACAGTATCGAGCATTGCACAAAATAGCATGACTTTATTGATTAATGGTAGTGGTTTTAGTACAGTTCTTGAATCGAATATTGTACTTATTGGTGTGATCAATTCATGTTATGTCATAGCGGCAACATCCAATTCCATTATATGCAGTATCGGAAATGCCCCTGCAGGCAATTACACTGTAAATGTAAACATTATTGGCAAGGGTTTAGCGTCTAGCAGTATTAATTTCACGGCTACTATTCCTTTGCAAATAATGTCATTTTCACCTAGTCGAGGTGGTGCAGGTAAGAATTCTCCTACCAAATTTTGTAAACAATTTTCATGCTTTTTATTTGCATGAACATAGGTGGTGGCTATTTATTGACAATTATGGGTACTGGTTTCTCATCGACTAGTAGTGTGACTATTGATAACAATGTGTGTTCAAACGTTCAGATGACCAATTTTTCATCGATCACATGTATTGTACCCGCTACAACGGCAAATAGCAATCAACAAGCGATAGTCACGGTTATTGTTAGATCGACTGTAGTTAATGCAGTCTCATTATTCACTTATGATATAGGCAATACACCTAATGTCTTATCTATTAGTCCAACTCGTGTAACTATGAATCCAGGCCAATTAACCATTTTTGGAAATCAATTTGGCAACACTTCAGTTTCAGTTTCAATTGGTTCAACAAATGCTGCTGTAATATCAACATCATCAAACCAGATCGTTGTTAATTTACCGCTTTTGCCACCTGGCCAATATTCAGTAATGGTTTCTACAATGAATGGTTATGCTCGGCCTATATTTTACATTGAGTATTATTTTTATGTTCAAAAGGTTTTTCCACAAGTTGGTTCATTGTACGGTGGCACTGATGTATATGTTCAAGGAGAAGGCTTTGACAATTCAACAAGTATTACTTTTCGCGATAGCAACAATCGTCAAGTACCATGTATTACTGTGTCAGTGCAGTCAAATCTTATTTACTGTCGAGCAAAACCTGCGGCTCCAGAAATTATCATAACATCAAACGGTGTTGATCCAACATATGGTACTGGGTTTGCTTGGTCACCTCAATATGCTATCGTGCAACGAGGCGCACTAGTCACATGGCACTGGGGTTCATCAGCACTCTTATCATCGCTGAATTACAAAGTACAACAAGTTGCTAATACATATGCTACAGAACCAGTGTTGAACGGATTTGATTCAGGCACAGCCACACCATCTGGTAAATAAAAATAAGTCTTTTCTTGAATAAAGATTGACAATTTTCTTGTGTTAATTTTAGGTTCATTTTCTTATCAATTTGCTACGTTAGGTACTTACTATTACTGGTCAACAGCCGTTGATCAAGCTGGTCTCATTACTCTGCGTGGTGTTATTACAGTTGTGGATGCTCTACCACAGACGCTCACCGTGCAGGCCACTTCAAATTCTTTTACTGGTAAAATAACATGCAACTACTTTCTTTTCGATTTCACTAATAACATGATTGGTTTCTTCTTCTTGTTCTTCTAATAACAATATAGCTCAATCTTGTGTATTTCCGTTCATATACAATGCTGTCAATTATACAACATGCATAACAATAAATGACACTCAACCATGGTGCTCTCCATCATCGTTCTATACTGGTCAACGTTTATATTGCACACCAACAAGTATGAGATTATTGTGAAAATACAACAGTGAATCCATTCCATTTACATTGTTTCTTACAATAGGTTCTGTGCCGAGTTCATTCTGTAATTCAAGTTCAAGCCTTAATCCGAGTTCATGTCTTCAAACAGTTCCTTCAGCGAATGTACTAGAATTTCTTTTTACACCATGTACAGTTGGTTCAGTGACTGGTATCTCACCTAGTCAGGGTGCTGCCGGGACAACAATAACGATCACAGGTTATTTGCTATTTTATTATTGTTCATTTAATGTCATCGTCTTCCTTGATTACAGGAACAGGATTCAGTACCATAGCATGCGAAAACAACATTCTTATCGGTTCATCGTATAATTGCCCAATAACAAGTGTTTCATCAACACAACTTCAGTGTCAAATAGGTGCTGGATCACTGCTCAATGCTAAGACAAGTCAAATAGTACAAGTAGCTCGTGATCGCCAAGGCTATTTAAACATAGATGGTCGATTAAGTTTCATATTTCAATCATCTATCTCAAATATTTCTCCAAATTTTGGTAGAACTTCCATCATTATTATCATTGAATACTGACTAAATCGTTATTATTTCATTTAGGTTCGATACTGGGAGGCACTCAAGTAACGATCATTGGTGATGGTTTTACACCGGGTGATACAAGAGTGATTATAGCTGGCAGTGATTACACTAGTTTAGCTACTATCTCTTACACACAAATAGTTTTTATTACACCATCTCGAGGGACTTATGTAAATCGAAACTTAACTGTAACGGTTGCAGTCAGTACGAATGAGGCCATCTGTCTGGCTACATCTTGTACATTTCAATGGTCAACAATTATTACACCATACCTCGATTCAGTTAGTCCATCTCACATAAGTGGTCCAACTACACTCACATTGACCGGTAGAAGTTTAACTGTTGGTGGAGGAACAGCCTCAAATACTCTTGTGAGCATAAATGGTAATCCATGCAATATCACATTGATGACAAATTTGAATATGAGTTGTCAAGTGGGTCATATCGAAGCTGGTAATTACACAATTATTGGATTGATCAATGGTATGTTTTCTTTTCTTCTGACTAATGAAACATTTAAATAATCAGCCTTCGTGTATGAAATCTCTTATAGGTGTTGGATCGATTAATTCAGCCGCTCGTCTTACAGTAAATGCTATTTTAACAAGTATATCACCAGCAACAAGTGGCATCTATGGCGGTGTCCTTCTCAACATTGCAGGTAGTGGATTCTCCAGTAATATGAACAGTAGTCGAATCATGGTCGGTTCGAATCAATGTCAACTTGTTCAAGCAACTACAAGCCAACTTGCATGTACTGTTCCACCACAAGGCAGTCAATCAGCTGTAGTCAATATAGTGGTTATTTCGAAAGGATTAACTTTACCTGGATCATGGTCATTTGTCTATAATGTTTCTAATACACCTAATATTGCGTCAGTGAATCCAACATCAGGAAGTGTTTCTCAGCTATTGACAATTAACGGTATCAATTTCATCTCCAATCAAACCAGTGTTTTTGTGGGTAACATTCAATGCAGCATTAACAGTATCTCTACAACATCCATCACATGTACGTTGGGTTCAAGTTCAGCAGGTCCACAGCCAGTCAGAGTCTACGTAGTCGGAGTTGGAAATTCAAATACAGATATTCTATTTACCTATGTTTTACAAATCACTGGTGTTACTCCAGCACAAGGTAGCTATGGCGGTGGTCAGACAGTAGGAGTCGCTGGCGATGGATTCAGTACAACGAATTTATCCGTTAGTTTATGCAATCGGTCATGTCAAATAGTGACTGTCGTTTCGAATACACAAATTTCATGTGTAACTCCTTCGGCTACTCCATCTGTTTCTGATACATTGTGCAATTTGACAGTAAACGTTGGTGCACTTGCTCGTAGCGTTTCATTTGTTTATCAAGCAAATTTAACGACAACTATTACTAATGTAAGTCCGACTCGTGGTGGAACAGGTGGCGGCACTACACTTACAATAAATGGAACCAATTTCCCGTAAGTTTATTTATGAAAGTAAAACTAGAAGCTAAAATATTTTATTTTGAATTTTGTCATGCTCAGAAATTCCATCAATGATATATCAGTGAACATTGCTGGAGTACCATGCATTCTACAAACTCTAAATCCAACAAGCATCACTTGTTTAACTAGTATTTATCGGCAAACAACAGCTCTAGCACCGATCATTGTCTCTATTAATGGTTCGGGTAATGCTGTCGGTTCACCTCTTTTTCAGTACATCGATTTGTGGTCGAGTCCATGGACGTGGGGTGGTAGTTCACCACCAGAAGAAGGCACCATTGTTGTTATTGACAATGGTAAGACAGTCTACTTTGATACGACAACACCTACTCTGAAAGCAGTTATCATCGACAATGCTTCGCTGATTTTTGATGATACACAAGACGTTGCTCTCAATGTGGAGTATATCTTAGTCGTCAACGGTGGTCTATTTCAAGTTGGTACCGAATCAAATCCATTTCAACATCGAGCTGTCATAACCATGTATGGTCACTTGCGATCAATTGAATTGCCTATCTGTAAGTAAAACTTGACGTTCGATTACGTAGTATAAGAGCAATTTGTTCTATTCTGTGTTTTCAGTTGGTGCTAAAGTTTTAGCTCTACGTGAAGGTACTGTTGATATGCACGGTAAGCCTACCATACAAATGTGGACACATTTAGCAACGACAGCAGTCAACGGTTCTTTGACAATTACTCTTCGTCAACCTGTCGATTGGGCAATCGGAAGTGAAATTATCATTCCAACTACAGGTGACTATCTAAGTCAAGGTGAAAGTGAAAAACGTATGATAACAAATATATCAAACAATAGAACAGTACTGACATTAAACGCACCACTTAACTGGACTCATTTGGGTGTCACTCAACATTTGGGTTCAGTATCTATTGATGCTAGAGCAGAAATTGGCCTCCTATCACACAATGTTGTGTTTCAAGGTTTGTTTACACTGACATTTTTTTTTCTAATGTTTTCAAGCAACTATGAAATTAAATATAGGTTCAATAACTGAAACATGGAATCAAACGATTGCAGCATGCCCAGATGGCTTCAACCCTGGTAGAATTGATTAAAACTGTTCGAAATTCATTTATACTATATTGATGTTTCTTTATTTTTCATAACAGATGAATTTGCCATTCAAACATGTTTTCTTGGTCGATATGGCGAAGAAATAGGTTCTGATCAATTTGGTGCTGTGATAATGGCTAGTAGTGATATGGATAAGATGAGTAGTAGTCAACTAGTCGTTCTTCGCTTGTCCAATATTGAAGTAAATGATATTGATCGTGAAGAAGTTTACAAACACTTGTTCATATTTGTATAGGTCTTTAATGCTGGTCAAGCATTCCGTCTTGGTCGTTATCCTGTACACTTTCATATGAACGGTAATATGAGTATGTCATATATAAAGTCATCGTCAATACATCAAGCATTCAATCGAGCTGTTAATATTCATGCTAGTCATTATGTCACCGTTGAGAACAATGTGATTTATAATATTATGTAAGATATGAATATTAATTCATTATGATGGATGAATTAATACTTGCTTGTTTCGTCTTTTGATAGGGGCGGCGCTATGTTTCTTGAAGATGGCGTCGAAATAGGAAATGTTTTTCGAGGCAATCTAGCCGTATTCGTACGAACAAGTTCTAGTCTGTTGAATGATGATATAACACCGGCTGCATATTGGGTATTTTAAAAGAATTTTTATATATTTCTCAAAATGTTCTTGTTTGAAAACTTAGATTACAAATCCGAATAACACTGTGGAACACAATGCAGTAGCTGGTGGTACTCATTTTGGTTATTGGTATCGAATGCTTCAAAGTCCTGATGGACCATCGTTTGCATTGTATCCCGGCTTTTGTCCCAATCGGCAACCATTCGGACGATTTTTCAATAATAGTGTTCATAGTTGTGGTCAATTTGGTGTATGGATATTTCCTGAGTACGAACCAACAACTGGTGGAAGATGTGGAGCCGATGCACCGAAACAGGCAGTATTTGAGCGACTGACTTCATGGAGGAATACTAAAGGATTCGAAGCAGTGATGTCAAATGTAATTCAAGTGAAGAATGCCGTTGTTTTTGATAATATTGATATGGGTATTGCATATCTCACTGCTATTGAGCATCGTGAAACAAACTTACCTAACCTTCGAGCAACTTTCTATGATGTCAATACTGGAGCATCTGTTATTGATAGTATTATTATTGGAGATTCCAAGCTATCTAATAGTCCAGTCATTCCCTGGCGTGGTGGTCTTATTGGTAATATACTTCGCTCTTTTTTGCCTCTATAGCTGTGAATTATAAAGACAATCTTACATTCTAGTCGTATGGGATCGTGGCCTTCGCGTTAGAAACGTTTCTTTTATCAATTTTGAAAGTCCGCAAACTCAAGCGATGCATGAACCGGTAAAAGCAGGAAGATGTATCGAACTTTGTGGAGGTAAACTAGCGTTCCTCATCAGATTAATGATTCACTACACACTTTTGTAATCGCATAGGTTGGACCACTAGATTCTCTCAAATATCATTTACTAATGTTACGAATCGTGCTCTATTTCGTTGGTCATATGATGGTTTATATCTTGACGAAGATGGAACATTGGCCGGTTTGCCAAATGCGACAATTTGGGCACCAGATTCTCTGTGGAATACGTCTACAGCATGTGTTCCAGCAAACAACTTTGTCAATGCGATTCGCTGTCCAGTATCGTTGGGTAGATGGCTCCGGTTCGCTTTCAATGAAGCTAGTCTAGGTAAAAATGGTGAGCCATTAGTGGTCTACGATATGTCAAACCATTTAACAGTCGTTCCGAAACTAGCAAAGCGATTAACTCATCCTTTCGGCTATATGATTCCGTTACTATCGAAGCAAACATACACATTAGAATTCATAAACGCAAATGTAATTAGCAAGAATTTATTTTCAGATCTTATACAATATTTCTTTGTTTCTTGTAGAGTTCGGTTAATCTATCGTATACGGGAGCTGTTTATGACTTAGCACCTGGTGACTATCTAATTTTTCGACATAAAATCGCTTATCTTCCAGATCAAGTGTATACATTATCCACAACATTGATGACATCGCAATCTAGTGCGCCGCTCTCACCTCTAACGAGTAATAATGGCGACTGGTACTATGACAATACTACAACATTCTTCTACTATATTGGTATGCTAACGTATACTATGTTGTTTTAGAAACAATTTAGTTTCGTTAAATTTAGTTAAAAACCCTTCAAACAATGCAACACCAATAGATGTTGTTATAAATTTGAAAGTAATCAAATGTCGCTATCCGAATTGTGAATATCCGACGCAGCCTGCGTTCGGATTACCAGCAACAGTTCGTCCTTCTAATGCACTATTTTGGTCGAATGATTCACATTGGGCATTTGCAACACCCGGTTACGGTGGTTTTGGTATGTATGTTCAATTTACAATAGCTAGATACACTTGAATATTCTGTATAGGAGGCGTCAAACCTGGCAATAACACAGATATATACATTCCACGTGGTGTTTGGCTTGTAGCTGACTATCCATTACCAAGTATTCTCTCTCTACGCATCGATGGTGTTTTAGAATTTGAACAGGTTTATCTTACTAACTTTCTACTTTTTAAAATAGTTTTTATTTTTCGACCAATTTCAGGGCATGAATAATATTCTCTACGTAAACAGTATTTTCATTAATGGAGGTCAACTGATTGTTGGTAAGTCTTAATAAGAACTAGTTTTCTACACAGAATATTGGCATTTATTTTTCATAAAGGTTGGCCTAATAATCCGTTGAACTCTAGTGTTGACATTATCATAACAGGGGAATCAGAGGCTAACGTATTTTTACCCAATAACGTCGGATCGATGGGGTCCAAAGTTATTGGCGTCTTTGGTGGTCTCGATCTACATGGTATGAATCATAATGTTACATGGACAAGATTGGCAGTTACAGCTAATGCGGGTCAGAACACCATTATTGTCAGCGAACCAGTTGATTGGAAAGTTGGAGATGAAATAATCATTACAACTACAGACAGTAATCTGGATCATACTGAAAGACATCGAATTTCTTATGTCAGTTCAGGTGGAACTACTATATTAACAGTGAATCAACTTACATACACGCATTTGGCCATTCACCGTGTTTTTCCGAATGGACAAGTTTTCAATGTATCGGGTGCTGTTGGATTATTGACAAGAAATGTTCGTGTCATCGACAAAAATCCACCATCAAGTCTATATGGTTACCGAATACTCGTAACTGACTATGCAACTGATATTTGGAACCCTGTTGCCAACGAAAGCATTTACACTTATTATAAAGGTTATGCACGGCTGTCGAATACACAATTTATCGGTTATGGTCAATTTTTCAACGCACCTGATGACGACAAGCGAGAAGGCGTTCATTTGTATAATCTCGGGGACTGGAATGCATCACGACCTACTTATATAGATTCATGTTCATTTGATCGTGGATCATACTCAGCGTAAGTACTTGATTGTCACTTGAATTCATTTTCGAGTGTAAATGTCGAATAGAATCGGTATTTGGAATACAAGTGGTATTCCGTTTACCAATAATGTCATCTATTATACATATGAATCAGCTATTGTGGTCACGGGAACAAACAATATCATTAACCATAATCTCGTTGTCACGGTCTATTGGTCGGGTACTGCTCAGCCGACGTTTGCCGAATTTAATACCAATTATGATGGAGCCATTACATCTCGAGATGCTATCAGTGTTGTTATGAGGGTATGTACAAAAACAAAAGTTGTCTATTTTAGATTATTACATGTCTCTTGAGTCAAATAGGATAATATGGTTGTGGGCGTTGAACGTTTGGCATATCGAATTCAATGTGATGCTTGTTCAGGAACTAACGTTTCAATTAACATCACCAATGATTATTGGAATAATGAAGCTCATTCAGCCATGACTGGTGTCAACATTTGGCCACTCGACAAAGGTTTTGATTATGATACAGGTATGCTTAGTCAATATTATAATAAATTACTTACCAGCTGCTTTCCCCTATTTTAGAATGCATTTTGGTCAAAGGCTTTAAGTAAGTAATGTGTTGATATAAATTCCATTCTTTTCATATAATAATGATTGATTTATAACATATCTAAACCGTTTGCTTTTCTCTAATTACAAAAGAATGTACAAAATGTTCTATTATGGTCTTTACATTAATACCGCTCGAAATATCACAATCGATTCGTGTATTATTATCGATTGTTTGGTTGGTATTTTTTCATTTGTGATGGGACCTTCAGGTAATTTTTTGAAAAAAACAATATCGCTCTTGTTTATTTATTTAATTTTCCGAAATTTAAATCAATAATAATTGATTTACTTAGCCTTGACCCATATTGGCACTAACAACTCCATTCATATACGCAACTCAATTGTTGTTGGTGCTATATCACCGGATGATTGTACTGATATTGTGAATAGTTCATCGAAGAGCATTGAATTAGCACCGAAAGCCGTACCGAGTGTAGCATCACCAAATTCGATGGACCTTTCACAAGGCCGATGTGGTATCGTTTTTCCATATATTTCGCCCAATAACAAAATGCCAGTGAAACCTTGGACTGGTATCAAGGCTTATCCATCTGGTTTGTTAGCGATAAAAGTAACTTGATATGATCTGCGAACTTCATTTTTATATTAGTGAATGGAGGTATGTTCATTACAAACACTACTTTGGCTTTTTTTAATGATGCATGTGGTCGGCACGATACCGCAATCCAAGTCGGACAACACAATGACGATGGCCAGTTTCCTGTAGTGACAAGCGCAATGCACGTATTCAATACATCTCGAAATAATATCATCTTCAATGGACGTCCGAATATACAAGTTTTGAACTCAGCTGATTGTGTTGGTATGTAGAATGCTTTCAGTGTATACCACACGTTCGATTTTGCAGTCTCTTCCGCGGTATGACAACACTTGATTTATTTATTTACTTAGATATGGACTGTGATGGACTAAAAAAAGCATTACTGATGGATACTGATGGTACCCTATTAGGACAAACTGGTAGTGCTATTTCTCAGGCTGATTATTTGTGGGGTAAGAATATAGCAGTTAATAGCAAAGCAGACGGATTTCTTTTATAAGGTGATCAACAACATGGTGTTGGTGATTTTCGAATACCAACAGTAGCACTTGCCAATATGAGTGGTTATCAAATTAATATCAGCGCAATATATCCACATAGAGGTATCAGTTTAGCTCCAACATGTGTTTATAATTCAGCATGGCAAATGTATTTTTGTAACAACACACTTGATTATCGGATGCTAATTATTGAAAGTATGGATTCAGATACAGAAAGACGACGTCTTTCGCCCGTTGCTGTTATGTCCGACAATGGATATATTGATCTCATTAATGGGCCCCAAGACCATGGCTGTTGTAATGGGTATACCTGTCGCAAACGGGTGTCAACATTTATGGCCATTGTACAATCTCAACATACATATCTAATTTATTTGACCAGTACTGTACCAAATCAGATGCGTTTTCGTGTTTTGAATAGTGATGCACGCATAAAATTGATTTTGGCTCTTCATTATGATACACTGCAACAAATTGACGTATATGCAAATGATATTTACATTTCACCAACCAATCGAGATTTAGGCTACTCATTTCTTATGTTAACTGATCAACCAAATAATGTCACATTTGCTTCACCGGCTGGCTCGAATTATTTTAACAGGTAACTTTCTAAAACAAAAAGAAGTAATATTCTAAACATATCCATATTTGCCCTTTGAGAACTACACAAATGGCTTATTTTGCGATTGATGGATTTACAGTGATTGATCTTAACATAGCGCCACTGCTCATTCTCACATTCAATCTACCACCTATGACTCCGTCATCGTTCTTCTCAACCAATCTCGTTGCTAATTTGGCTATTTTGCTTGGAGTAAATAGTAATATGATTCGACGTGTTGATATCGTCTCTGCTAATTCTAATACTACGTAAGTTCTGTTGTGTTCATTTTGTTAATGATTAAGTTCAACAATGGTTTTTCTCATTAGTCGATTACGTCGTCTAACCTCATCGACTGATATGAAAATTGAAATACGTGAGGACCCATCAGTCAATTTAACACTTTATAGTACCGCAAAAAACGATGCTTTATTAAACGTAACAGCCAATATAGCTAATAGATTTCAATCGGGTGAAATGCAAGTAACATGGGCCCAAAATCCAGCAACGAATAATACGAGCCCAACAGGTTTAACTGTTCAAGAACCATTCAGTCAGACAAACGATGCGATGAAAGTTATCAGTTATATCATTCTCGCCACTCAGCCGAGCTTTTGCCGCGTACAAAGTCCATGCACAATTCAACCAGTGATTGTTGCGTATGATTCTGCCGGAAATATTATTCAAAAGTTGGGTTCCATCAGTCAACCATGGAAAGCGGTTGCCAGTGTAGTGGGTCAATCTAATGTAAATTTATCTGGATCTGTTGCCAATTATTCTACTGGGCAATCACAATATAGTTTATTTGGATTGCCATCGGTTGGCACCTATCAAGTCCAATTCACGATTGTACCATCTATGGAAGTTAACATGTAACTTTAGGTATCATCTTTCAATTGTTGCTAATATTTATTTTTTATTACAGTTCATTTGTCAACATATCTAATCTGACGGTTATTTCATCAATGATTGCTGTTACACAAGCGACATTGGCCGGTCTTGAGGTGAATCATGTATATGTGACGAAAGTCAGTCAACGATTTAATGTATCTGTTATGCCTGTGGACAGTGTTACGCGTCGTCGTCTTGGACAAGTCACTTGGGGAACCTGGATTTGGACAAGTGCAGTTTCGCTTTATACTTTGCCTCGACACAATCGGTCAGCTATACTCACTGTCGATCCATCGTCAAGAACGATTGTTGATTCATCTGCTGGCACAGTAACAATCACAGATATTGCAATCAATAATACTGGCATGTTTATACTAAATGTAAGTTTAGTTTCATCAGATCATATGTATTCCATTCAAGTGATAACCAACGGTATACTTGTGATATCATCGACAAGTAAGCGAACCACAATTAGAATGAATTGAAAATATGTTTTATCTTTTTTTTCTATTCAATAAAAAGGTGTGCTTGACGAGGATACAGGGGATCCGGTGACTTATTTTACTTTCGATGGAAACTATGATTCACTAATAGCATCTGGACAAATGGAAATCAAACGAGCCATGATTTACAATTATCTATTAAACATTGGCATGCCTATGATCAGCGACATGACAATTTGGAATGGTGAGTGTTAGATAGTTTCGTTTACGTAACTCTTTATTTCTTCAAAGAACACTAACTAAGATCACTTTAACAACTCTAACATCTCTTCAAATACGACTTCACTTAGGTCTCTTGACCAATAGATAGATATGAGAACAAAGAGAGAGGTAGTGGCCACAAATAGCGCCACTACCTAGCATCTTCACCCTTTACCAGTGAACGGCATCATCTGCTCACGAGAAAACAAACACAAGATACGAAATAGAAACTAATAAACGAATAGGAATACAAACAAGGGAAAGCAAGAAAGCAAAATATAGTCATAAACGATCATGAACATGAGTTATAATAACTTAGAAGTAAAGATAGAGAAAACAATAATGTAAAGGATAAATATGTTACCTAGTGATAAATTCCGTGTTACATTATTTTTCTTCTTTTTACATAAAGATATATGTCCCGATATCAGCAGAATAATCAGTTTGTAAGGCATAACAATAAATATAAATATATTGATGAGAAGTATACGCCATTCATTATGGCAAATGAAACTGATATAGAAACTAAAGCTAAAACGAGTCTGTTGAATTTCACTTCTTCCGAGTATCTTTTGATCAATCAGAGTATGAGTAACAGATAAATGGATACTAGTATCATTACAGTTTCCATGAACATTAGCTTTATTTAATTCCATAACAGGATTAAGTACACGATGAATTACACCAACATCATTCAACGAGTATAAATTAACTGATCATTTGGTATTTCTTGTAATTCATCTTCATATGTAATAGGATCATCAGCTGCTACTGTTCATGAACATGATGATTGAGGATCTGTAATTGTCGAGGTGGAAACATTAGGAATATCATCAACGATTGAGTTTTTAGTTGAATTTTGTTTCACTAATTGATCAGGCAATGAGGGTTCAGGCATAGCGACAACAGTGAAATGTTGATCATCATTTATTACTGGTTCAAGAGTTATCAATGTCTCAACTTTCGGAGTTGGTGAAAAACGTCCAGTAGAATTTGATACATTTGGATAAATAACTGCTGAAAAATTATCTTGAGATGTACATGACGAATCCGGGGTTCCTTTGGACGATATCGATGATGAATTAACATTTTGTACTGGTATTGATCGTTGTTCAATCACTGATAATGTTCGATTAGATGCCGGTTGGAAAGTTTTAAGAATTTCATGTTTAATCGTATCCCAATCATGAATATCAGACTTGTGAAAGTCAAATCAGATGGAAGCAGTACCAATTAAATACGATTGTAGTACTAAGAATTTATTCGATGTTTGTAATTGTACGCTATCAAATACAGTTTCAGTATTGTATAAGCATTGACTAACATCTTTATTACAATTACCATGAAATGCAAGAAGTTTTCTAATTTGATCTTGAATAAAAATTTGCATACGTTGTGGATCCATATCTAATAATAATATTCTTGATAAGTTGTAATAAGCGTGTTGAAATAATTTATAATAAGATTGGATTACCACTAATAAACATATGTTTCAGGTAAAGCACGAGGAAGGAATAGGATCATAGCATGAATACCGATAAGAACAATAAGTTGAGGATAAAGAATGTAAAGATTAACATTAATCTTGATATAACATCGAGAGAAAAAAAAGACATCTGACAGGACGAGGAATAGAGAGAAGAAAAACGAATCGAGGGGGAAAATCTTATCGTGTTCGACGAATTGTGGTCGAAAATCATCACGAAGAGTCACGACACCAATTGTTAGATAGTTTCGTTTACGTAACTCTTTATTTCTTCAAACAACACTGACTAAAATCACTTTAACGACTCTAACATCTCGTCCAATACGACTTCACTTAGGTCTCTTGACCAATTGATAGATATGAGAACAAAGAGAGAGGCAGTGATCGCACATACCACCACTACATAACAGTGAGTGATATTAACCATACATTTTGTTAAAAGATAGTCGGCGAGTCAATATAACATAGTTGCATAGGACTTTTCTGTGCAAAAGAACTACCCACTAATTTTCTTGTGAAAAACAAGAGTTGACTTTTTTGAACGCAGATTACGTTCAAATTTATAAATTTCTGTGTATGATAATTCGTCAGAAATATATTAGCTTTAAATTTCTTTCATATACATAAACCCTTGGCTATTTGTAATAGATGAATTAGTGTTTTTTCAAATATGTCGACATTTTTTTCTTTGTTTGACATTTCAATATCTGTTTGTAAAATCGATTCAAGAATGAGTGCTAATTTTTTGCAGTGATTGGTGATGGTGGATGGCCTTTTGTATCATCTCGTGCATCATCCTCATCAGTTGTTATCGCTGCGTTCCTTCCTGGCTCACCTGATGCAAGCGTTGCACAAGCTGTTAATGCAACTCAGCTGGATCCCAATGCTATTCCAGATCTTAAGAGTTTGTCGATTACTGTTCGAAGTAAATCGTACAGTATTTCATCGTCATCGTCATCTACTACTCTGTCTACTCAAAATAATACTGAAAATACTAATGTTGGTCTGATTGTAGGTCTCGTAGTAGGTATTGTTTGTGGTTTGGCACTGTTGTTTGGAATCGTCGTTGCTGTGAAAGTTTACGAGAACAAATATGGTGGCATTAGCGCAGACAGAAACGAAACAGTAAATTTGCGCGATTTTTCCATTGTTCATAACGAGCATGATTCAATCACTCCACCTCAAACAAAAGGCAAAAGGCAGTCTAGGATTATAAAACTTCCGCCGATAAGTCCACAGCATCTCTCAAACTATGGGGTGTACCCACCTATGAAGCATGACAAATCTGATCATCTACCTGGAGCTCTCTTTATTACGTCACTCGAGGATGAAATTACACATGAGGTACATGATGATCCTACAGATTTGCCAATTGTAGAAAGAATGTAATTTGGTTGACGTAAAAAAAGACTTAAGCTTCACATTTCACTGTTTTTAAAAACAAAGATTTTCTCTTTAACACTTGTCTTTTTTAAAATGTGTGTTCATTTCTTTCGGCAAATAAATAAATATTTTTGCATCTAAATATTCAAAAACATCTCTTCCGAAGACTTCCATGGGCGGGTTTGATATAGGCAGCCATGGCGCGTTTCGATCTTGCTCAAGGATCTCATCAAATGGCATTAAATCAATATGATTACTAGAATCAACAAGATTTATTCCCTCGACTGGAAGGAGGGTCATACGAAATAAAATGCGTTTATGATCTTGCTTGACTAATTGGGGTAAAAAAACACTTATCAGAGGCTAGCATAGTGTAGGACTTTTGGCCGTTTTGATCGAACTTTGATGTAGGCTATCAATGACCATGAGTCCGAATCCGGAACCCTTTTTTTCGGCTGAGATTTCATTGGCCGGAAGCCGACCAATCAGAAGCGAATTTTCCAATTTTAGGCTTTTGGCCGTTTCAATCGAAGTTTGTTATATGAACGAAATCTTTGTTTGGGATGTGCTAAGGTTTTATCAAATGTATTGCAATAGAGAGGTGGAGTGAAGGCTGAATGTGCACTTAGATATATAGAATGTCTTAGGCGCTTCTTTTTTTTGAATTCATTGCAAATAAGAAGTGTGTTGCTTGGAAGAATGAAGGAAGGTACGTTCTCTGACTTACGCATACTGAGTACAATGGTGATACAAACAAGAGATGGGTGCTTTACTACTTTTTCTTGAAAATGTCTTTGAGAACTGAATCGAAAACAATTCTCCAATCTATAATGCAAATTTATGCAAGAAATTCTGTATATAGGGTTGAAGATATATTATGTAATTACGCAGATATTTGCTGCTGTAACAATCAGAATATTGGTATTTTATGTCTGTGGAGCGAATCTTCTTTATAGCCGACGCCACATACTTTTCTTATTGAGTTAATTGATCCTGCTGTATATTGGACAGTTAAGCCTTAATCATCTGAAACAATATATTGAATGAGTACGATAGCGGAAATGGATGAACTTTAAACCAGACTTGGTTAGTTTTGTCAGTTACGCGATATCCACGTCTTTCACGATCATTTCGCTTTATTGCTCGTTTCGTTCACTGTATAAGGACGGAGAATATTGAAATGTACGACAGTTAATATCAGAATACATTTTTGTCGTTACATCAATGAGTTTAAAAATAAATTTTAAATAACAGTTGGTAAAGTGCCATTGCTACGAAGAGTATATCAGGAGGGTGTGTGGGTGTTGGAGTATTTTGAGCAGACCGTTACGCGTTTCGGCCTTGTTTTAGGGTCTCATCAGACGGCTTTCATTAGATTATATAGAAAGTCTGTTCTAGTGATTGGAAAATCATAAACAAGAATCTCCATAATATAATTGATCTATACTAGCCCCGAAAGGAGCGATAGATATCTTCAATAGTGGGGTGTGTTTTTGAATAGCAACCGTTACGCGTTTCGACCTTGCTTAAGGATGTCATCAGATAGTTCTATCTTTTGAAATTATTTAGATGATTCGAAAATCACAAATAAGCATCCATAATAAAAACATCTAATCGTTCTCGAAGGAAACAGTAGATATACATTAAGGGGTGTGGGTGTGAAGAAGCTGCCATGACCGGTTTCGATCTTGCTTGAGGATCTCATCAGATGGCTTAATCTATTTAAGTTTCAAATAATAAAGTTTAAAACTAAAATAGAAAAATAAAATTCAATGTTATAAAGAAAATTTTAAATAAAATAAATAGATAAAACTAAAGAACCCCGCCGGATAAAAAAAATTTCTAGAATCGATTTCATTTTTATATAGTTTTGTAGAGCTCATTAAGGTACATCAAATGGTATATAGGAAGTCAAGTTTTCATAACGGTTTTGTGTAGTTACAGTCGATATACTATCTATACTGGCATATGGTACTAATAGAAAATGTACACTCCTATGATCATCTCTAATGAGTATATACAGATTTAGTTTTATAATTCAGTTCGATACAGTTATGAGTGGTGCTCAATTTTTCATATTTGATAGTTTTCATCACTACTGCTTTGCTACTGAAAAGAGTCATCTTCTATCGATGAATGGCATTTTTTCACCAAAATGCACTTTACTGTTTTCAGTCCTGTGCAGTATAGCAATGTGGTAACAACGTGAAACTTTCCCAAAAACTGTCTGTCACTGAGCTCTACATATTTGATAGACCCAGTTTTTCTGAGCTGCAGGGGCTCGTCGGCGATNTAAAGTCGAAATTTTTTTTTCACTTTTACCATCCTGGAGGGGGGTACAGGAAAGCGAAAAATATTGTTTTTGAGATAAAGAGGATCTATTGATAAATTCTTACAGGGCTTCAACAGTAAACGTAGTATCCCTGATTGAAATTGAGCTTTGTGAAAGAAATGTCAAAAATGATAGGTCTACTATTTATAACTGGCACCCTGTGCCCCCTCCAGGAGGGTAAAAGTGAAAAAAAAATTTCGACTTTAAAAGGATCTATTGACGTCAAATTGTTGGGGAAGGTGTGCTAACTATAGATGGATAAAAATTTTCAGAACTTATATTGCACATTGTTGGAATATTGTCTATGCACTGTGGCTTCTATGTGACAAAATAGGCGATTTTTCACCACTATTTTCAGGATTGCCGACGAGCCCCTGCAGCTCAGAAAAACTGGGTCTATCAAATATGCAGCAATGTCAAAGGTCCAAGAAATGTCCACTTTACCAAAAGTCCTTCAGTGATTAATGTGACTTTTCATATCGAATAAAATATTAAATATAGCATACGTTACAGAAAAGCAAAAGACTGATTTCAGATAAGAGGATATTTCATTCTTTCAGCGGATATTTCTAATGTATGAAGGACTTTTCTTATTCAACAATTAGATTAAAAAAAACACAAATAATAAAAAAGCGCCAATTGACGTTTCTTCAGAATTTGTCATAGACGCTTCTACTTAATACTGTATCAATTGTTTGTTTCAACAAAAAATTTTCTATAAACTGAGCGATTTTCTTTTTCCTATTATTTTCATTTAGGTGATTATGAATTGGGCAGATTTTAACCACTATATATATAATCTTGACCAATAATTTTATTAGAATGAATGGCTGTGGAAATTTTGTTGGGAATACGGGAATTTCTAAAATCAAAAGTACTTTTCTTTTTCTATTATTCTCAACCGTTTAGCAATCCATGAACTCGATTTTAAAGAATATAAATAATGACGATCGATTCTTTTCGTATATATAATTAGAAAAACAATTCTTGTTTTTCCAACAGGTTTTTAAAAATCAAAAAACAATTTTCTTATTCTATTGTTTACAATTGTTTGATTACTTATGAGAGAGAGTTTAATCAATATACATGAGTATAAAGTTTTATCATTTTGTACCTTGCTTTGTACACATCATATACTAGCAGTTATTGGTATCTCCAAAGAAAGCTTCTATTATCAAAATAATTTGCGCTCTTTTGACATTTCATTGATTTCAGCATGTAGAAAACAGATTGATTGAATATCTATCCATCGTTGCAAAGTCTGTTCATGTATATTAGGAGTTATAGTGATCATTTGTTACTTTAAGAGGCCTTTCTAAAAATCAAAATGATTTTGTTTTCAATTCTATTGTGTTCATTTAATTGACTATATACTAAAAATGATTTGATAGTCAAAACAAATTTTCTTTTCATTTTATTTCGTTTCCTAAAACATGCATGAAAATGATTTATTTTACGTGAATAAAATTTCTGTTAGTTTCGTTTTCTATGTCTGATGGTGTACAACAATTAATTTTTTAAACATAATTTAATAAAAAGTCATAAAGACTTTCTGTATTCCTATATTTTGATTCATTTGATTCTATACTGAGTGTGTTTTTACAAACATATATTTTAATGACTCCTTTCTTGTATATAATTCGCTACCGGATATATTTTTTCTTCAATAGACTTTTATAAAATCAACAAGACTTTCTATACAATCATTCTCTTTTTAATTATATATTCAAGTGCGCTTAATGAGTGTATAACATGATGATCAATTTGTTGAGAATATTAATTCCACCAACGGAAATTTATCTCTGAAAAAGACTTTAGAAAAACTATTCATTTTTTCTCTTTCTATTATTTTAATTTTTTTCATTATATAAGGTTGAGGAAAAAGTTCGTGCGGCGTGTTACTGAGGCACCCTCGCCCTCACCTCAGTAACACGACGCACGAACTTTTTGTTCAACCTAGTATATGCAAGTTTCACGAATAAAGATACTGATGTTTGATTTGTTACGTTTCGATAATCCGCTACCCAATGTTCATTTGTTCAATGAAATTTTCTCAAATCATGAGAACTCTTTTCATTGTCTCATTTTTCTTCCGTTGATTATATATCAATTAGATTTTCAAAAAAAAAAGATACCGTCTAATTCGTTTCGTGTATATGAATGAATTGCAATTTTATTGTACCGTTCTGTAAAAAAATTTATGAAAACTTGGCTCAGAAATTATTTATTTTATTTTTAGAGGAATTCAATGGCTGCTTCTACATTTTATTTTTAGAATTATAGTAATTCGTATTTCAATTTTTCTATGGATAATTCTATTCGTATTACTATACATAGTTATAATGATACTTATGGTAATCGATTTAATTATTGTCGTTAGATTAATTTAGATATAACTCAATGCGTTATTGAAACTGTCTCTTTTAATACGTGATTTAAGAAAACAACAGTCACGAAATCGATCCCAAATTTATGAAAAATCTAATGAAATGATCAATAAATTAGTGATGTCCAAAAAAAATAATGAATCGTGATCATGAACAAGTCAATGAACGTATATAACAAAAACTCATCAGCCGGGGAAGGGGGTAGGGTGTCAATTTATATTCATTTTTAATTTAATTTACTCGTAAATACAATTATAAGTAATTTATATTTAACTTAAGTGTAGATAATTTTTTTTCAACATTTATATTTAAACATAAATGTAGCTAATCGTAATTTACGTTTAAAATAAATAATAACTTATAATAGTTTACATTTATATTTACGTATAAATAATTTTTTTTTCATATTTGTTTGTTCGCTTTAACATTTTTCTTTTTTTATCACTTGTAAATTTTGTGATGATGCTTTTTCTTCATTCAAAAAGTACTTTTTTTTTCGCTGTAACAATAAAACGAAAAACGTCTAATAATCAAAAAGGTAATTTTTGGATTGAAGAAAAAAATTTCATTGCTTGGATATAACGAGTCAATAAGATTAGCGTTCGTGACATCGACGAACGTCATTCAGAACACCTTCCGAACGCGTTCGGAATACGTGAACATGTTCCGATCTACTTGTTTAGAACGCGTTCCTGTTTTGCATTCCGAATGCGTTTTCACTCCGTTCGCCTCGACCTGGATATCAAGTAAAAAGTGTTCCATTATCCAATACTTAATAATCACTCACATTATTTGAGGAAAACATTTGGAAATGTCACAGAAAAAAGCCTTCTTTTAATCTACTAGTCGAAATTGACTATCTTTCTTATTAAAATGCGAAATAAATCAAGCGAAAACTATACAGTTAGATAGTATAATCAATACTCCCTCAACTCATATAGAAATTAAAAACTATTGACGTTTCGTAGCAATACAGCGATTGAAGAAAACTAGTAAAAATAAGTGAATCATGTTGTATATGTATTTATCCGACGGATATTTTGTTTCTTCAGCGGACTTTTCTACAATCAAAAGGACGCTTCTCATTCTACTATTTTGTTTTATTTTATTATATACTAAATTTGTTTTAGCGATTGTATATTATGACAACATTTGTTTCGTACGTATGTTCGACCAGGCCATACTTGCGCCTTCAACGAACTTTTCTAAATTCAATAAATTTTTTCTTATTCTGTTTTTTCTCTAATTCATCTCATGTACAGAATGTTCTAACAAAATATTTAACAATTTGATCTATTCGTATCGTATGTATATTTAGCTAGAGGATATTTCTTTCTTCAACGGACTTTTCTACAATCAAAAGAAATTTTTTTATTGTCTTATTTTCAGGTTTTTTTTATATTATATGACGATCATTTCTTTTTTTTCTATCTATATTCGGCTGACGAATATTCCTTTCTTCAGCTGAGTTTTTTACAATCAACATGATTTATCTAATCGTCTTATTTTCATTCATTCGATTGTATTCGTAAGATATTTGAGCGAATATATAGTATGATGGCCTCTTAGTTTTGGATATAACCTTGGCTAGCAGACACTTGTTTGTTCAAGGAACTTTCCTAAGAATAGAAAAAAAAACTTTTTAATTCTATATAAGGATTTATTTAGTAATATGTGAAAAAGATTTGAACTGATATATATGATGATGTTTTCATTTGTTTCGTGTATACATTCGGGTCACGAATATTTCTCTCGTCAGCGGACTTCTCTATGAGAAGAAGTATTTTTCTCCTTCTAATATTTTTATTTATTTATTTGATGATATGTAGGAAAGAATTTTACAAATATGCAATATGAGTCTCCAGTTTGTTTCGTTTATTTGTTCGCCTAGCGGATATTTGTTTATTCACGAGACTCTTCTAGCAGCAAAATCATTGTTTATTTTATTGTTTTCATTCATTTGTTTGTATATTGAGCATGTTTTAACGAGTATACATATTGACAACATATCTACTTCGCATATATATATAAATATATATAGTAAGCAGATGTTTGTTTCTTTAAGTGACTTTCGCAAAATCGAAAGGAGTTTTCATATTGTGTTATTTTCATTTATTTGATTATATATAGAAGAGAATTCAACGAATATATATGATGATGACTGGTTTTTTCCATTTTTATAGGTGGCTGCGAACAATTTTTTCTTCAACGAAACTTCCTATTATTATAGAGATATTTTCTATATTTTTTTTGTTGTTTATTGTATTCGAATGATAGTTTAATGAATCTGAGTGATTATGACGGATTTTTTAGCACATTTTATTTTCTAGTTGTTATTGATTGTCACAAAAATTCTTTTTAAAATAAAAATGTTTTTTTAGTCATGTAGATTTGTTTTAGTGAATCTTTGAATTAAAGCTCTAGGAATGTTGTCCAATGGTGTTGTGAAGTTTAATGGACACGTAGAATGAACCGAAAAAAATGTTTGGATGCTACTGACTCTATCACTCGCTGGCGCTGCGTTTCTCTGAATTTCTCTTTTTCACTATGTAAAATATTGATTTAAATGAAACTAAATGATGAGGTCAAATTTGTACGTATTTATAGCGTACCATGGGATTTTTGTTTGCCCAGCGGATTTTTCTATGTTTCAAGGGATTTTCTCTATATATGGTTTTGTTCGTTTCTGTATATGTCGGCGTAAGCATGTAGGTGATCAGTGATGAAGATGGATCCTGTATATATGTATTATCGACTAGTGGTTATTTAATTTCCTGAGGACATTTATTCATTCTCTTACGGATTTTTCTATGAATCGAGTATCTGTGGAGCGATGTAGACAAAGGAATCTCGAATTTGGTCTAGTGAAATGAAGAAATTTATCGTATAAAAGTTACATTTCTGGCAAAGTGAAATATTTTTCTTAGTGACTGATTGTTCTAGTGTTTGTAAACATATCAGCAAAGATTACTGGCTTCGCTATTTATATGGTTTATTAACTGTGGATTTTTTATTCGAAAGATGTACTAAGTCAACATTGCCGATAGCTTTATGATTTATGTATAGTGTTAATGCATGCTGAAAAGACAGATAAAATGCAAATGAAGTATATGATATTGAGTAAAATGTTCGTAGCGTAATGTATTATGAGCATTTTAGCGCTAATAAATTGTTTTCAAATATTGTTTTTGAATTATGAATACTGTTTGATATCTTGCATTCTTTCTAGATTATTATTATGATGATTTCTAACAATTTCACCGATAGTTTCAAGGAAAACCGGACGTTGGCATCTCGAATAAAGCTGAGTCCGGACAACTTTTTTAGTAATACAATGGCACATTATTGTAATGAAATTGCCGAATATTCGGCAATTAAATGTTGATGCAATCCCAATTATTTTAATAAACATAGCAGCAACAACTTGTGAACAATCTTATGTGTTCAGAGCTAACCAGTTTAAAAAACCTTTAAATTTATATAACTGTGTCTTTGCTAAAAGTTGTACGTATGCCTGCTGTTGTTATTTGACATGTTATTCTTCCATTCATACTTTTGCTCTTTAGCCTACAGCAAAAGTCCGATGCTAGGTTTAGTTCAAACATCAATGCTAGCAGTTCGAAATTCTCGAACAATGAAATTTTGAGAAGTAGAAGATAAACTGAACGGTACAAGCCATATAGGTGATATTTTCAATGAAGGAACAACTGCAGGATTACTTGATGCTTTAAAAGGTTGCACCAGGCTCTTGTTAACTGAAGAGGGTGACGTCATACTTAGACGTATGGGAACTTTCCTATCACCTACAATTACAGGTTGTGATTCGTCTCTTCTAGATGATTGTCGAGCACAATTGATCAACTTATATGATCATCCAGAACAATATTCCAAAAAGTTGAAAAATTCCATTGTAGAAGTCAGTGACTCAAAATTGAACATACTAGTAATGTGAATAATCTTTTTTTTCTGAAATACTTTTCTTTTTTTTAGGCTGGACTAACTGGTGAATTAGTACAACCAGCAATTATAAGGCGAGCTCAAAACACTCTTGCAGATGCTCTATTTGAACGATTCCTATTTTGGGTATTATCTGGTGATACAATAGATACGAAAATTAATCCACCCGAATGGGATTCTTCCTGATGGCCGACAATTGACAAATTTGTTATAATAATGAGCTTCTTTGAACGTGTTGAGATGCATTTTAACGAAGATGCTAATATACGTATGATCGAGTGGTGCAATTTTATCAAACGAAAATGTATCATAGTATTCTGACGATACTGATCAATCTTTGTTATTAATTAAGATAGCGAATACCGTTATGAAGAGAGATTGTATGTAGACTAGAATATAAATCTTTATTGATAATGCAGCTATATAAAATGTCAGAAGATTTTAATGAAATAGGAAAAGTGTGGGCTTAAGGAAATACAACAAAACGGGAGTTTTAAGACCACATCCCATTCAGTTATGTATGTTTCATCAGATATCTCATAGTTGTACAGCTCTTTCTTCATTGCGTTTTCTCATAACATAAGGTCGGATGTTATTGTTTCGTTGGTTTTCGTAAAAAATGAGAAGCACTTTCATCTTAATCTGATAAACAAAAGACTTCACCATGAAGAAAAGCAACTAATGTCAGACTAAAACAACATTTCGAAAAATAATCTAAGAAAAGTCGATTAAACGCGGCATTTTTCCATAAAAATTTAAAGAGAGTAATAATTTTAATTGATGTGCAACTGAATCCATTAAAATCAATTAAATTTTTAAAAATGGATCTTCATCATGGGAACTGGAAAATGCATTTTATAGGAATTTTAGATTGAACAGTCAGTTGTTTCATCATTTTTTTTCTGGAATGCTCACCTCAACCGATCATTAGGTGCACGTTAGATTAGCCTTTTGACCCTAGCGGTCGAGCTTTGAGATTTCATTATTGTTCACTGAACCAAGAAATGGATCACTTAGATAAAAATGAATGGATGAATTGCATTCAATTGAAATTGATTAAAAGCTAAAGATTGAATTCTAGTAAAGCGATACTGAAATTTTAATTGGCTTTAATGAATTGCATATGAAATAATCTGATGAAAAGCGATCAGCAATCGGAAAATCTGCCTTAGAAATCAATTGCTAAAAATTTAATCGAGCTTTCAAACTCTAATTACCAAAATTGTGAAAATCTTTTCTTTCAAATGAAATATTTTATTAAAAATCTGAGTAAAGACATATGATGATGTTTATTATGTGCTTACTTTTTTCGAGCAACTCTGTTGTAGGAGCCATGGAAGAACGTGATAATCATTTGGCCAGTCGATATGGTAAATCAGTTGATGCTGTACATCGACTTGCTGGTCTATTTCAAATTATTGAATTAGCATCAGATATGCTCACAATATTTGTTGAAAGACATGAAGGCTTTGAAGATCAATCTGCTTCCAATGATTTTGTAGTTAAATGTGAATCATTATTTACTGAGATTTATGACTCAAATATTGAAAATAATCGACGATTTTTTATACCCATTGATGTCGTCGAACGAGCAATCGATGTTATTTCTGGTAACTTAGAACAGTACAAGTTATTGATGCTTATTCCTCAACATGAAGGAATTACTTTTGTTCCAACTTCAAATAAGCCAATAGATTTATCAATGGAAATTAACATGAACAACAAAAAAGCTAAAAAGTATCTGAAATTTAGTAAAAAATCGGTACAAATGGAACAAGAAATATTACTTTTTGATTCGGTTTTATTCACCTTGAAAACTCTCTATGAATGTCGTTTATTGAAAAATGATGCAGCTGTACTCTGAGGCATTTGTGAGAGTCTTGCCAACAAGCAACTTTTGATTAAAGTGGATCGTGCTACAGGATTTGGTACCAAATCTGTTACAATTTACATCAAAGCATTGCCAAATCCTACATCGGATATCGAATGCCACAAGTTTATAAACGATTTGGCTTCATTAGGTAACCCGTCTTTGACAATGCAAACAGTACTTGATACTTGTCGAAAAATAAAATATTTTTGTAAAACATCTCCGATTCAAAATGTTTTCAAAATTCTTGATCAACCACAATACAAATGTTTGAACTTGGATCTCAGTCCGTTGCATAGTGGTAAGATCTAAATGAATTCTCCTGGAAGTATAATAAACTGTATCGAAGTATTATTTTTCTTAGAGTACCTACCAGCTAAAAATTCAATTTCTTACATCTCTAAATAATATTTGCAATATTGTTTTAGCAAGTGTTGATAAACGACATACGAAATCGGCTATTTGCAATATGAATGCTGGTCAAAATTATTCATACAATCATGATTTGGATATGCCATTAAACAGTTAGTTCTTTTTTTATTTTTTTTTTATTTCAAGTTTTCAAATGTTTATTTTTTAAAATAGACCACGCATTGAATAATGATACCAATGAATGTGCTGTACAAAAAGATTCACTGATGTCATTAACTGAAGATAATGGTAATCGTTGTGAAGTTGATGATCAAATGCTAAACATATCCGGTATAAGTTAAATTTTACTTGTTTTGTCACGACTTGATGTATTTTCTATATCGATAGCACACACAGCAATCGGTAAATTCACAAGTGTAAGCACCAATGATAGCATAAAGTTAACAGGTAATATCAAAGAATTCGTAACAATTATAGTTGTTATTGATTACATTTTTTTCGGTAGATTCAGATACATTACTTTATGAAAACGATCATAACGATGAACAATCGAATCAATATCAAGAAGTTCAGATGAATATATTTTCGATTAGTAAATAAGAGTATCTCTCCTAAATATTGTAATTAATAACTTTTTACGTATAGATTTTGGAACTCCAATAGTACCGTTTACATCAGAACGTGATGAAAATATTCAAAGTGAAGAGTGTCATAACCCATCTGAACGTATTGACCTTTTAACTAGATAAACGAGATATATATACATATGTATATAATGATACTTTTTAGTCGATCAAAATCTATCTTTAGACGTTGAACATCCTGGTGCACAAAAAAACCTGACGTTCATCAGAACATGAACGCTTGAAAACGGGTAACTGTGGTAATAAGTCTGGTAATGTAAAACAATCAAGGGAAAATGCTAATATGAATGATATGGAAGATGATCACGATGAATCAAGCTACTCGACTACTATTGCAGGGCGTCTCTGTCAAACAAGATTACCTGTAGCAAGATTTTAATACATTGAATATTATAATTATTTTTCAATCAATCTTCTATTACTTTGCTTAGGTTTTTTTCACTCATGGGTTTTTCGTTCAGTTTGTTTTTCTAATTCATGTTTTTGTTGACTTATGGAAAGTAGATAAAGCAGTTATGATTTCGTTACATGTTATTTTGTTTGTTAAGCGTCATATTCCTGAAAGCTAAATGGATTATTCAAATAGTTCTGTTTCTAATGATGCTTTTCATTCTATAGATAGCTAACTGTTTTTATACATCAATGATGAGTGAATATCTTCCACAACTTACACCCGGTGGTCTCAATGTGAGTGTTTATTACTTTAGACATCCATGAAATATTTTCAACTTGTAGGAATATATTAGTGGTAGAAAAAATTATTGTGCAACTCTCCAAGTGTTGGTATGTTTATTCAGTTAATTAAAATATAATTTTTGTAGTTTGACTTATCTAGGATTTGAAGTCGATCAAAGAAAAAGCAGGAGACAATTCATTGACAGGCAAACGTTATCGACTTATTTTGTCAGATGGAAGACATTTTTTCAGTTGTAAGCGACATTCAACATATTGTTAGAGTTATTTTCGTCTTATCTTAAATATATATCTACACATGTATGTATTGATCTGACTGATTGCTCTTTAGCATGTGTACTTAGAACTGATATGGTTGACTTGGTCAAAAATGATATTTTGAAAATCAATTCAGTCATACGCTTAAACCACGTGGACGTTTGCAATGCTGGTGTGAACGGTTCAAGGTACTCAATATTATCAATTAGACATCGAGACATTTGTTTTAGTTTTTTGTTGCTCTAGAGTAATTTTGGTAGTTCAAGATTTGACTGTTGTATTAAGTGATTGTGAGAAAATTGGCAATCCTGTTCAAATCAGTATGTATAATAGGAACTACGACACGCATTATGGGAAACCACGCAAACAAGGCTCTAAGCCATTTATATGAATAATTTGCTTTGTATTCTTTTCAGATGACATTAATATTGCTCACGCACGAGTTGATTTACTCAGTAAGTGGTTTGATACATATAAAAAAAGAAAGTAGTTCATAATATGTTCGTAGACGTTCCAATTAGTCAATCTGTGTCAAACGTTACTCGGTCTGGTTCAACTGGTGCGATTTCGAGCAGTGGGTGGCAAGTAGATGACTTCGATAATTTCGGCTTACTTCTTACAGAATCCCTATTGAATACAACAGAAATTTGTAGCATCAGTGACCGTGATTCCCCCCGAAGCCGGTGTGTATATTAGAGCATTGTATTATGTTCTTGTTGGTTTTTAAATAATGTGAAAGGATAATTTCATAATTGGCCAAAGCTGATTAGTCTCTCCCATATTGTTTCAAACTGCCAACGTATTTAGTTTGTATAAGTAACGTTTGATTGGAATGATATAAAATATGGCAGATTGAAATGATTCAGAAGTTATAAATGTGATAATTGATTTTAGTGTATCTCAGTTGTAAACATATAGTATAATATTTGAAATAGCTTAAAATTTTTAATTTTAAAATGAATATCTGTGTGATATAGGTGGGTGATTAAAGCTCGTGTAGCAAATAAAAGTTACATTCGTGAATATTCGAATGCAAATAGAAATGGTAAAGTCTTCAGTGCTGGATTGGTCGACAGAACCGGTGAAATTGAATTAGTTGCTTTTGATCATGTTGCTGAAAAATTTGATACAAAATTGGAGATTGGAAAAGTGAGTGAAAGAATTTGGTGATATTCACAATGTATCATAACTGCATGAATAGACTTATTTTATTACCAAAGCTAATATAGTACCAGCAAATCAAAAGTTCAATTCGTTCAAACATATTTACCAAATGGTTCTGAAAATCAATACAATTATTCATATATGTGAAGAACAAGATAATGATGCCCCGGCTGATATCTTTTTTAATTTTATTCCAATCAAAGAAGTTGCATTGCGAGAAAATAATACTTTATGTGGTAATACTATACTAATAATCATCAAACATTTATTATATATATTATTATAAATTAATGTTTTGAAGACATAATCGGGCTTGTATCAAGTATTGATGAATGCAAATTCTTCTATAATAAATACAAGCAAACAAATTGTGCTAAACGAGATATTATGATTACTGACGAAGAAGCTTCAATAATATTAACATTATGGGAAAAGCAGGTAACTTTCTCTTTTTTAATTGGAGTATCATGATTTTTTTTATTGTAACTAGGCAGAAGCATTTAGCAATACTCCGTGTTCTATTACTGGCATTAAAGATGCCAAAATATATGATTTTCGCGGTAATTCGAAATTTATCATTATTGTATGTTATGTAGAATAGCAGTGTTATAATTGAAGAAACATGTTACAATAGGAAATCATACTTAGATTGCTTTATGAGAATAATTGTGTTAGAAAAAAATCAATTTAATCTTTTCACAATAAAATCTTTTATGATAAAGATAGAGTAGTTTCTAGACCATTTAGAAAAGCTTTGTGAGAAGTTATTGGTATTATGTTGAAATTCATGACTGTTTTATATGTCACATGATGTGTGTCCGACAATAGTTGACAGTAAGACAACAGAGATCCACACATATTGGTTATCATTTTTATTTATGATCTATTATGTGTTTATGTTATATAGGAAAAAGTCTATCAAGCATTGACTCAACTGTTATTCGATCAAATCTTCCAAAAACAAATCGTACAATTCAATTAGAAGCTTTACGCCAATCAAGTTTTGAAAATCTTAATTTAGCCTCATTGACAACAATGACTCAAGTGAAATGTACATTTTTATTCTTCTTGAGTTCTTTCTGGTATATTTGTATGATCATAATATTTATTGTAGCGAGCGTTGCAACGATAGAGGAGGTGTTAGCAGCCGAGGTTGATCTTATGCAGCATAAAAGTACTGAATATTTTTATGTGAGAGGATATTGTAACGTGATCGATCAAGATGATGCAATTTATATGGTAACCATAATTGAATTAAGATTTGTATGATTATGTTTGGACATTATTTTAACTTTTTCAGTGTTGTCCAGTTGAAAAATGTTGTAAAAAGCTAGATGATTTAGGGAGTGGTTCCTTTTTTTTGTAAAAAATGTCGAACAGAACAGCACGCATTCAAATGGGCTTATGCTTTGTTGGTATGTTAGCCAATGACAAGCGAACTGAATCTTCTTGAAATCACTTGATATTCGTATGATTATTTTAGTGTTCTATTGTCGATGCTACAGGTGAATTAAATGTATGTATGCTTGGAAATGCAGCTGAATCTTTGCTTGACACCAGTGCCGATGCATTTCACCAACTTAAAAATGTCAGTTGAATATTATTTACTTCACATACTGAATTTTATTTTCGTAGTGCAATACAACAAATATTCAAAATATCTTTATGCATGGAGCTGCAAAAATTCTAATATTCACGATTGATTCAAAAGTGGTTGAGTTTAATGTAAGTACTATAATAATATCAAAACTCACGTGCTCTACAGCTTATAGAAGAAAGTTATTCTAGTTTGCAGATTGATTTAATGAAGCTTTGTTTATTATAAAAATTCAAATATTTATTTTATATTTTAGGGCAGACAAAAGATACAATACATATGCGCCAGTGTCTGCGGAGATTTGTAAGATCAGCATAAGCTGCAATAAGTGGAATAATGTCGCCACGCATTGATTGATAATTTGTCTTTTTTTGTTTACTGTTTGTTAGATTGGAATTCTGACATATGTGTACTGCAGCTATCATTAGATAGTTTGAAACATTTTCTTTCATGCTTTTTTTTTGTTTTAGATCAGAATTTGATGGTACTAAAGACTGCTTTTTTTGCTTACACGAAATAGCATATTGTTGTATATTATAATTAGATGGAAATTTGCGAGGAATCGCAAAATTCTGAAAAACGTTTACCGTCGTGTTCGCAGCCATCCTTAGAAATAGCACATGACGAAGAAGATGAATGTTTGCAGGTAGTCACGTGTCCTAATGATTTTCAATATTTTGATTTTTTGTAGAAAAATAATACCTGTCCTAGTGTTATGCACTGTCAATCCAAGTTTAAAAAGATGAAAATATGCTCTCATACCGACGACAACGTTCTATCAGAAGCCGACGACGAATCTAACATTAATGAATGTATAGAATGTGAGACGTGCCAAATGTCGGGTGATGAACTATTCCAAGCATCATCAGCTAGCACTCAAACTAATATGGATGTATCAACTGTTGCCACACAGACACCTTGGATTATTTATGTACATCAAGATCCAAACTTAACATCGATCACAGTAAAAGATAACGACAAGATGCCATTATTTTGTGTTGAAGGTATGAGTGTTTCATATCATTATGATTCTCGGTGTAATGTTCCTATTGAAAATGATTCTACATATATTTGTGATGATGAATTGTCTGAATTTTTAAATAAAACTGGAAAATAGTGTCTTCTTTACTGTTTTTAATTCTGTTTGCTTTTTGAATGGTTGACTGCAATTTATAACCTAGTCATTTAATTAATACTTACCGATAAATTCTGTTGATAACAGAATTTGCGCAGAGTATTATTTAACAATTAGTTACCATTCACATTCCATTCTGGTAGATTCTTAAAAATAAGACTGTTGGATTGATTTGGGAATTTGCATATTGTAGATGACATCAGTGGCTAAAACTATGCATGGATGCTTACATGAAACAGAAGTGTCTGGAACAAATCCAGAACACATTTCTATACTTCACGATTTTTTATCAAAATTTTATCTACATGAGATAACCTTTGTGGCTCACTTAAATAGTGTCTATTCTATATATGATACTGAACGTGTGGAATGTATTACATTACAGTTACGATTAACGTTTGACACTAAACATGATGTAAATCATGTGCGTGCTCTTCTCGACTTCTTTTCAAATCCGACCAGGCAACCACAGGCATGGCATCATATTAACATTGATCAGCATTTATTAACTGATGTGGCTGCTCATTATATGAATCCATTTACTGCAATATGTCCAGCATGCAATCAGAATCTAAATTTGAACGATTGTAATAGGACAATGGTTTACATTTGTCATCAACGTGGAAAAGTGCTGCCAGGTATGACTAAAAGGTTCATCCTACGTAAAAAAGTGATAACAAATTACTTATCGTGAATGTTGTTCTGATTATTAATTCGATGGAAATACCATAATTTTTATGTGATTTTGATCAGATAATTTTATTTTGTAAGTGAATTCATTTGCGATGATCGACAGAAGCATTTTTCTGAAATTTTACATGACATACTGGAAATCTTGATTGTTTTTTTTTCGAAGTCGTTGACTAAATAAAGTAAAAATATATTACTGGAATAGATTTTGAGAAATATGACACGTATTAAAAGTTGATATTGAGTGACAGTAATTAATTCTTCAGTCTTCATAACTGCAACCGATTAAAAATTTAATAATCTGATTACAGTCAGTATCAAATCTGCCATTTCAATGAATTATTTACCAGAAAGCAATTGATTTATATTAACTTTTATGTTTTTTGAATATTGAAAGATTTCTAATATTTTTTCTGTGATTGTTTAAGGTATTGTTTATTCATTGAAATGCAAACACAAGAAGAACAATGATCAATCGAACGCTAGACCTTTAACGATCTATCCTAATTTTACAGAGCAAGTTGACATAAAAAGAATCTGTACAAAAAGTTTGAATAATGGTAGTTTTGTTTATATTGTGGTAAATATGCTTATGAACGTGCTCTAATAGAACAATATACAGCTGATTTAATTTGTAATGCCAACTCGTGGATGAAAACCGTCGATAGCTTAAATCGGCAAGCATTTAATGGTGAACAACACCAAGAACATATTACGGACAGGCGAACATTAGCGCGAATGATGTTTATTTATAATATTGTTCAGTTTTATTTGTTTATAGGCTCTCCATGTGCTGACTTGCCAAGGTCTTTAGATCAATATGATGACTGGGTATGGAGTGTTTATCCTCGGTTATTTGCCTCATTGATTTATTTCTGGTCTCGACACAAAGAAATACTAGGACCGTGCACTGGAAATAAATGCTCAGAAGCTTTAGTGGTTGATGGGCATCAAAAGTGTCGACGTCGTGTTTGTAAAGCAAAGGAAATTGAAATAAAAAACGATTTGTTTGAAAAAATGATTGTGGGATGCTGTCGTACTCCACTTCGTTATTCTAAATATTGTGAACTTCATCTTCATAAACATCCAGAAACTGGCAATAACAAACAGAGAAATAGCCGAGAGCTTGTTATTTCTTCACATATTCGAAGTTGGAAGACAAGAAGGACACAAAAATAAAAATATTTTTGTGCCACAGGTTGCCGTACTAGCAAGGCAAGAGGTGATTCTTATGTACGTAAATGTGCACGAAGTTTTGGTGTAATAGCAGCCGTAACTAACTGTTGTATTGTAACTACGTTTGGTGAAATTTTTAGAACGGAGACTCTAAAAGAAATACTACAGTTATTAACGAATAGCATAAAGGGTATGATCTTTTAGCACCGAACGATTATTGAAATTAGACTATCATCGTTATCATTTTAGTATATGGAGTAGTGCCTAAGACGGCTGTTTATGATGACGGTTGTCATTTGATTGAATATCTACATAAACATATTGGAAAAGATCTAGTTGAAACATATGCTGGAAAGGCACTTTCTCAGATCAAATTTAGTGTAGATAGAACACACTTTCGCAATCACGTTGGATCTTAGTGTCGCGCTAATATAAACCCAGACAAGAATCCACGTATGCTTCTTCTATTTTTGAAATTCCTTTTTTTGTTACATTTACTACATTTTCAGTTCTGGAAAATATAAATACTCAAGCTGCAGAACATCTATTCAGTTGGCTTAAAGGCTATGCATCGATTATCAGTAGTCTTGGGTGGAAAAGAGCGTCGATGTTTCTTCTAATAATATTTCATCATAAGAACTTGATCGCAACCAACATTAAGTTCAGTTCTGTATTTAACATTGTCAGTAAATTATATTACACCAATTTATTTACATAATTGAATAAGTTTTAATATATTCACAGGTCAATCAAGTTCCACACGAACCCACCATTAGTCTTATGCACACAGGCGATTCAATATCACTACTAGAAGCGTCGAATATTCTTGCATCAAGCACTTCATCTTCAACCAGCCAATCGAACAAAATTGTAGCAGACAATTTAACAAAGTGTGCACCTGAAAAAAAAGAAAAAGACAATCAATGAATGAGCCTTTACAGAAGCTGTCTAATCATTGTCCACCGTCGACAACAACAAATTGGACTGCTCAAGTGAAATCTATTTTAACACAGCATGCTTCTAAAAAGAAGAAAAAAGCATGATCCATCCACAAAAATTTTTTATTGTCTTACTGGTCTATAGAAACTGAACCCTCTTCACTATAGTACCATTTTTTTAACAATTATTAATAAAGTGATATAAAGAAATCAGTCGAATAATCGTGAAGTACTCGATCAAATATAATAAAAATGATCTGCACATTACGCATTGTACAGATTGTAATGAGAAAGTAATCGACAAATTTTTAAATATCAATTGATTCTACTGATTGCCTTTCATAATAATCATTTTATTATTCTTTCGTGAACATCTCTTTCAATTGATTTAACTCGTGCCAAACTAATAGATCATACGACTTATAGGCTTCCAATTCCAATGACTCCACAACAGCTTTTAAAAGAATATTTAAGTAAGCATAGTCACTATTAATCCCAACAATGAGCTCACTTTTAACTCTGTTAAACTAATTTTTACTGTAGAAAAGCAAAGATAACATTCTAAATCAAATTTACTTCACACAAGACTCACCGTTAATTCATCTCACCCTAACTGTGTTTACCAAAGCTAATGACAAATAAACTCTTCGATGTCAAAAGATAATCTTTCTTTTAATACAAAACAGCTAAAACTGATTTCAAAGAGAAATGCGCTACTATGAACACAATTTCATGAACACGTGGTGTTGATGAAATTTTCTAAAAACCCTCTTCAGACAAAGTGAATTCAGCTGATGAATAGAATAGCCCCCTTAACATAATTGAAGATGCATTATTAAAACACGAAAAGTCCTTCTAAGAAGGGAAACGTTACGTTTGATGTCCATTAAACATATCAAAAGTCCGCCGAATAAAAAGAAAAGTCCCATTAGAAATAGAAAGGTTCGCTAAGAAGTGCGGCACTGATGGATAATATTAGTTTGCGTTAAATTTGGTAATATTTTGTCCGACTAGTAAAGTCCCTCTACTCTTCAGCGGACTTTTGGTAAAGTGGACATTTTTTTGGACCTTTGCCAGCCCTCAATTTGTTATTATCTGTGTGTGCTTATATTGTTATTAAAATAAACATAATCGAAAACCGTAACGTTATATTTTGATTTATCAATTCACCCAGAACCAAAAGAATAATAACCCACAAAATATTTCGTTACAATTGGCGACCCTGGCAGGAGAAGAAGGAAAAAATATAGTTTTATATTTATGCAATCTTCTGATTAATTATTTTAAACATTATACAAGTTAGAAATCGAAAATGACTACAGAAAATGTCTCGGCTCAAGAAGCAGTAAATAGATTTGTGGGTGCTCTTGAAATTACCGCAGGAAGAATTAGTAAATTAGAAGAACAGCTCGATGAATTATTGAAGAAATCTACTGAATAGGACTATAACAGTTCGCAGTTCAGTTCAGTTCAAACGAACTGTTCGAACAGTTCATCTGAACTGAACTGAACTGTTCAAACAGTTCAGCTCAGTTCAGTTCAGACGAACTGTTTTTAACAGTGCAGTTCAGTTAAGAGGAATTTTGAACAGCTCCTCTGAACTGAACCGAACTGTTTGAACAGTTCAGTTCAGTTCAAACGAACTGTTCGAACAGTTCTTTTGAACTGAACTATTTCCGAACTGTTATAGTCCTACTACTGAACAAAATGCAAATTTAAACGTGAATAAATTAAAGATGATATCTAGTGAAGCAGTGGATGCTGAAACTAGCAATACTAGCAAAATTATTAAATTAGAAAGTCAAATAGACGAAATGTGTAAAACAATTCAAGATTATCGTGAAGAAAATATAAACTCAACCAAAGCTGAATTCCAGACAATGTCGGAAAGAATGGGATCCATACAAGCATTAACGATGTCACGTTTTGACGAATCTACAAGTGAATATGGAGAAAATAAACGACAATGGTGTCGTATGTATGCTGATATGAATACTACTATGAATTGTATCCTGGATAAATTAGATGATATTACAGGGCCAAGAATTAGTTTAACGAACACGGATGCCAACTTGGGACGTTCTATGCCTACAACGACCCATATCTCGACCCCCAGGTCAGGACATACCTTGCAAACAAATTTATATCCAACGGAGACTGAAGTAGTGCAGGAAACAATTGCACAAAATGCATTTCGTTTGAACGGTGTGAAACATTCAATCATAGTACCACCATCTTCAGCAGCTCCTGAATTTCATGGAAAACATTCAGAAAGTCCAACACAATTCTTAATTCGTGTCCAAGAATATGCCCACTCCGTACACGCATGGGACCGACCAACTTTACTTAACGGTATTTCGCAATTTCTACGAGACTCAGCCTTAGAATGGTATTGTCAACTACGTATATCAGATCGTCGACCACAGACGTGGGCTAGAGTCCAGCGGTTCCAAAAAATTTGGAACCGAGAACCGAACCGGATCCGAAAATTTTCATTTTCTTAGATCCGGATTTGGAACCGGATCCGTGAAATGAGAACGGATAGAACCGGAACCGAATCCGTTGGAACCGAAAATGTTTTCATGACAACTAGAGTCATCTATATTTTATCGTTCTTGAATCATTGTTGAATAAAACAATTTTCATCCATGCTCGATATAGCATGTTAATTGTAAACAAACAGAAAGAAACAATTTAGTTTCATAAACTTATAGAAGGATTCAACAATAGTTTATTATTTTGTAATTTATTTTTCTACATTTTGTGTGAAGATACTCCCGGTGTGTGAGAAAATTATTCTTAATGGAATGGGCGATTCTTGATTGACAAAGGAAAAAATTATACAGTTGATCAAAAATCATGATACAAGTTTAACATTTGTAAAACCGAAAACATCATCATCTTCAGTTTGGTCTTCTTTCAGTTGTGTTTATCAGTAATCAAAAAAATATTTTGCTTGTTGCGATAAATGCAAAGATGTTCTACATCATAAATCAGAATCTGGCACAAGTAATATGATCAAACACATCAAATCATGTCAAACAACGAACGAAGATATTCCAAATACGTCTCTTAATGTTAAAGAATATTTTCGTCCTAAAACTTCTCAACCTATTGCAAGAATGTTGAAAGAAAAAATTACAAATGTAGCTGTTGAATTTGTTGCCTTAGATAATCGTGCATTTGAACTTGTATCTGGTGACGGGTTTATTTATTTAGCTCAAACAATATTGAATGTTGGTCAAGATTTATCTAAAACATCAGATGTTGATATTTTGGATTTAATTCCGAATCCAAGAACTGTAAGTAAATATTATATAAAAAACCTGTGAAATAAATAAATGGAGAATTTCCTAGTTTACAGAAGAAAAGTATTTTACTTCTTTTATTTACTACTAGGTCAGTCGGAACATCGATCGATTATACTTTAACAAAAAGTCTCAGCTGATAAAATTATGTGCAAATATGAAATCTTATACAATTGTTGCAGATTTCTGGACCGACTCACACACCGGTAAGAATATACTTTCTAACAAAGCTTTTTATACATTATTTTAAAAAAAGCGACATGTTTGCAATAATAAATTTAGTACTATTATCAACACTATTTATTTCTTTTTCAGGTGTCAGTTTCTGTGGTATTGCTCTTTTTCATTTAAATGATGAATTAAAACTCCATGTATTTATTTTGGGTTGTTTTCCTTATGATCGTCATAATCAAACAGCAAGTCAAATTCGTCAATTTGTTGACAGTAAATTAATGGAATGGAATTCAATTTAACCTTAGATAACAGTAAATTCATAGTGTGTGATAACGAGAACAAGATGAAGTCGGCTTTCAAGGATTCATGTACTAGAATCGAATGCTCAATCCATTATATCAATAAACAATTGGAACATTGTTTTACCACAGATGTTATTGATAAAGTTCCAGTTAAATGCGAAATTGTTCAAGAAATGTTCGCTCATGTACGAAATATTGTATCTCACACCAGAAGAGCACATAAACAAACAAAATTATCTCGTAAACTTCAATCATGTTGTGATACACGGTTCAATGGTGCTTTTCTTACGATGGATGTCTTCTTATTGGTCTTCGACGAATTACCTGCTGTTTTAGAACGAGCTTTTATGAATGATTATGAATCGATAGATAAAGATTTACTTTCATGTATTTGTTTATTTCTTAAGCCATTTGAGGAAGTAATTGAACAATTTAGTTCTGATACAAAACCAACGATATATAAAGTTTTACCTTTTAAGCAATATTTATCAAACCACTGTAAAATTCATGCTGATGATCATGATGGAACCCAACAAGTTAAAACATTTCTAGGTATTTCTTTAATTTCAAAGATTCAGACATGCTTCAAATCTTTTGTACAATTACGAATATCTAGTAAAATCAGAGAGCCATTTAAGTATATGATAAAATAAAAATAGTTGATGCTAATTTCGAAATGATTTTACATTATAGAAATGTCTAAGAAACTGGAAATAAATGTCGTAATAATGTTATGACTTTTTTTTGAAAGATCTGATTTTTCTGTTTAGAAAAACGTATTCAAGATGTTTGGATTTTACATGATGTACATTATATCACCACTTTTTTACATCCAGCATTTAAAAGTTTCGATAAATGTCCAGATTCTCGTGCAAAAGCTATTGATTTAACAAAAAATGAATTGTTGAAGCGTCAACCATCATCATCTATTATCTGCTCAACAAACAATAAATCACCAGTTCGCGTAGCTGAACTTGATCCTCAAACATCATTACCAAAAACTCTTCTTTCACAAAGTTTTGATACACCAAAAGATAATTTCAAATTGTCGACAACACCTTATGAGGAATTAGAAGAATATATGGCATTAAACGTCAGATTAAGTGAAAATGATGATATTTTTTTATTTTGGTTAAATCATAGAACGAAATTTCCAACATTATTTAATATTGTTCAGGATTTTTATGCCATACCTGCATCAAACACCACCGTCGAACGTCTTTTCTCGTCATCAAAAAATACAATTACGGATAAAGGTACACGTCTTGGTACAGAAAAGATAAACAAGTTATTATTCTTACAAAAAAAATCTGAGCTTATTGAAACAAATTGCTAAATAACCACTTAATGAAGCTGTTGTTGTTGCAACAAAACAAAAGAAGGTTCTTCAGCCATTGTGCACGAGCTCATATGACAATCAAGAACAATTAGTAGATACTACATCTACCAAGAAATTGAAGATGAATGAAGAAGATGACATTATTTTTTGGGAAGATGATGAAAAAAAATGATATAGAGTTTCTTTTAGAATTTATTTATATAGTGCTAACTGCATATAAACATATCGTATTATATGGTTTTTCTATGTTTTTTTGTTATTTTTGTATCTTTTACAAGATTGCTTTTCAATAAATTAATAAGAGTAAACAATAAAAAAATATAGATATTTCTGAAAAAGCCTAATACAAATTATTATGTAATATCACCAGATTAACGGTTCCCAACATACACACTCGGATCCGACCGTAGAACCGTTTTTTTTCAACTTTGCTAACCGGAACCGCCGGACTCTAACGTGGACAGAGTTTAAAAATTTATTCATGGCTCAATTTAATTCACCAATCCGGAAAGCAAAACAAGAACAAGAATGGCATGAATGCCGACAGAATGAAAATGAAACAATAAATGAATTTTTAATTCGCCTTCGTGCTCTTTGGAGAGAGCAGAAACCGAAAGAAATTGAGGCCGATTTAGTCAAACATCTATTCTGTAGAATGCGGAACGATTTACTAAATATGATCGGAACACCTCCGAATACGTCGTTAGACGAATTAATTGCTGAAGTTCAACAGATAGAACAAATTTTATATCGTCGAGTCAAGAATGAACGGGTATTACACCAATTCAAACAATCACCACAACAAGATATCGAAATAGCATCCAAGAAACGGAATCAGTATGAGCGTTGGCAGTCGAAACCATCCTGGTCAAACAACGGACGACCACGATCGACCTATCCAAGAGAACCAAGATCTTACCAGACAAATGAAGCAACAGTCAATCATTATTCAAACAATCTAAACCCAACGACGGCAAATCCGATCTCGTCGACACGAAGTTATCCGGAAGAAAATTATTGGCGTGGACAGGAAGGGTATGCAGCAGAGGAATATCCAACGCAGTCTGGAGCATACCCAAGAGAAAGACACAATCCATACCCAAAAAACCATTGATGAGCACTGGACGAACGGACCAGTCATGCTCCAATGTAAATAAATCTGTTCAATGGTCGGCTCAAACCCATTCAATCCAAATACTGCAAACAGATCCACTAATGATATCTGGTAAAATCGCCAAACAGCCGACAAAAATGCTTATTGATTCAGGTGCATCGTTAACATTGATTAATTCAAGCTTATTTAATCGATTACCCTACCACATTCGTCAACGTGTTGAATACCAAACGGGAAATTTGCAATTACATTTAGCTAGGGATGTACCGAGACCGAGACAAAACCGAGAGTCTCGGTCTCGTTGGTCTCGGTCTCGATCTGTCTCGGTCTCGGTCTCGATCTGTCTCGGTCTCGGTCTCGATCTGTCTCGGTCTCGGTCGTCTCGGTCTCGGTCACAGTTTGATCTTTCTTATTTTTAGTTTCAGTTTCAGTTTCATACAAGTTTGCACAGTCTATTAAGAACGATTGATCTTCAGCTCTATTTGTTCTAATTTTTATCACCAAAACTCATTAAAAGTAGAAGCACTAAAATGTGATATTTCCTTCAAACACTGAAATAGCTTCACCATAATGTCCGTTGTATTGTTCGCATTGATTGAAACCTGGTTTATAAATTGTAATCAAGCTTTTCAATTATCAACAACAGGATTAAAAAGTTCTTCTTGATTTGTTTATTCTACCTTATCGTTCTTCGCCTCGATCTGATTCTTTTCATATCTCATTTTTCATCTTCCAGCCAAAATCTTTCATGTGAATTTTTTTCTTTCTAAGTAAATAATGAACCATTTTTTTATAGTGTACGTTATGATCATACAAGTATCATTTCAATAAATTAGTTTGAACTTTCGCTTGCATAAGCAAATAAATAAAATGTAAAAACACGAATGATCACGTAACTCTCAAGAATAAAATAAAATATTTTGTTTCACCACAATTTTCATTGACGAATACCGTTGGATTAGGAAGTATCAAGGGATCATTTCAGACAAAGAAAATAACTGATTTGTTCGTTATATGGCGACGATCGAGAAAAAGATTGTTAATGAATGAACCGTCGAGGAGAAGAACATACATGCGTTCACATTTTAGGCAGGCATGAATACAATTAAGAAAGGCAAAAATGAAGAGCAATGTGGTATAGAGAAAAGAAAGACGAATTTGTACAACTAATTGCATATCTTGTCGTGTAACGATTCATTAACATCGTATTAGTCGAAACGAAAAGGACGAAACTATTCCTGCCGTTATTCATATTGTTTTCCACACTTTTTTCTGCTATGCATTCAAAAACAAAATCGAAACCTAATTCTAAAAGAATAAGTAAAAAAACCAGTCAAATCGAAGTCGAACTTCAGCATGTAGAAGATAATTTTGATGAACAAACTACTAAACGTACAACTCAACAACAATCAGTTCAGTCTTCATCATCTTCACGTCCGAAAACTACATCAGCCATTACAACAGATACTGATGAATCAGAAAATCAGGATGAACTAACTGGTGATAAACAAGACGATAGTGATGGTGATACATTGAAGTCTGAAGTTTGGAATTATGCTACAAAGCTAAACAACGGTAAAGCGAAATGCAACAATTGCAATCGTGAAATATCATGTAAAGATCATTCAACAACTGGCTTACGTCGGCATTTATTTCGTTGCATTAAAATTCCAAGCTTTATGTCACACAGAAATGGTAGTACTACAAGTTCAATCGGACATGATCTCAAACGACGATTAAATGAATTAGTTTATAAATGTATAATTGAAGATGGGCGAACTTTTGGTGATTTGAGAAACCCAGGCATTATTCGGCTACTTGAAGATATTATACCAGGTAAATAATGATATTTTATTACTTCTTGAACCTGCAGTATTGCTATGAATATATTGAAAGTTATTCAGATTGTCACACAGTAACATATGCGCATGTTCGTTATATATTTCACCATTGGTAGTTTTTTTTCATAAATTCTTTAAATTAAGATATACAAAATAGTTTGATTTTACAGATGAGATTGAAGAGAACATTTATGCTAACACTATAGTTATCGAAATTGATCTGAGATCGAAATCGAACACGAATGCTTTTATAATTTGACTAAATATTTACACACTAAATAATTACGTTTTCTCTTGAAATTTTCCAATACTTACGAGTGTATATGTATTGACATCATTTTCTTTCAAAATAATCGGTGTTCTATTGCAAGTTCTCTATTCATTCTGATGTAATTTATAAGTAGCATAGCCCAAAGTCCTTTGGATAAGATGTTCAATATCACAATTATTTCTTTTGATAGATTTTCAATTCATACTTTCAGCGATTCTTTTTCGTTGTAGATTTCTTTATAGAGTATAGAAAGTAAGCAAATACTAAGGTAAACAATGGATGAAGTACAACCCGAAACAAATCTCTCTCTATCGGATTTGCTTTATAGAAAACCTATTGAATGTATCATGAGAAAGAGACTTTTCTAAATAAAATCTTTGGAGCTCTTCTAGTTAGAGTTTTTCCGTGATGCATTGATTAGAACGATATTAATCTCAATTTTCTCCACAAAAATTTATTTCAGTATTGCTATCTAACATAAAATTTAGTAGCTATTATTCGTAACAATTACATAAAAATGAATAAATCTATATTCTAAATAGACTGTCGTGTTTGACATTCTCAATAATTCAGATAAAAACTGAATATCTTTTATGAATTTTAATGCGAATAAATAGGTTTATATTATACCTTCGAATTAAAATGTCACATGAGTAATGAGAATCAAAAATTTTAATACAACGTCAATACTATAATCGTAATTGATTATTGAAACTTAGTCGGTTATGTATTCAGACTTTGTATTAGAATTAGAAAAAAACTCATGGCATTCATCCTTATTCATAATCATAAATTTCTTGGTCACGCATACATATTCTTCTCTTTTCCAATATCTATTCATGCATTTAGTGTTTGTGCAGGAGACTAAGAGACTTGTTTTTTCATGAATAAATATTAAAATAATCATTTGATTACTTCTTGTTGAATTAAAAATAAATAAATAAAATTCTAACTTTCATTTATTTAGCTTCATAAAAAAAGATTTTTTTTACATAACCGGTATCATAATAAAGAGTATTTCTTTCGGAACGTACGCTTTTGTTATATTCGTGTGTACATGATTAGAAATAAAAAGCATGCTGAGGTCTTTATTTGACCTACAGTCGCTTTCATTGTTGTTTCGTATGGAAAAATACTTTTGTGCCTATTTTAATATGAACATACTTTCGATGTACAATCTTTTCAACATGATATTTTTTCTAGGCTACAAACCACCAACACGTCGGACGGTGCAACGACAATTGAAAAGGCTTTGTAACAATCACACACGCTGGCTTGTAGCTGAATTAAAACGTATTGATACATTGGCTGTAACAACGGATCTTTGGTCAGATAAAAAAATGAACTCTTATATGTGTTTAACAGGACATTACATTAATTCTGATTCAAAACTACAATCTAAAGTATTGTCGTTTACTGCTTTTCCAGAACGTCATACGGGAGGTCAAATATCATATACAATCAAAAAAGAACTGAAAAGATTACAATTTTATGATAAAACACATACGATAACTTGTGATGGAGCCGCAAACATTAAGAAATCATTCGAATCACTTAAACCCAAGCGAGTGCATTGCTTAGGACATAAACTACATCTGATCGTATGCAATGCACTTTGCTTGTGGGTAAAAAAACAGCAAATAAATGAAACAGAAGATCAAGGTGAACCAATGAATGAAAGTTTCGAAGATGGTGATAGTTCAATTATTACTACAAATAATTCCAATGGTAAGTGATGAAAAAACGTTTTCATTGTTGATAAGAGATTATTTTTTTCTTTCATCTATTCTCAACTGTTTAAAAGATTTTGATGATACACATAATACTGATATTGATCAAACAACATGGCATGAATCTGATATGATAGATGATGACGATCTATCAAGTGGTGAAGATGATGCTATGTCTGATGATTCGAGTGATACGTCGGATGTGGTGAATGACAATTGGAAAGAAGGTGTTCTTGAAGATCTAACATCGATTACTTGTATAGAACAATATACTATTAATCAAGCTATTAAAAAATGTCGTGATTTTGTCAAAGCAGTCAGTAAATCGTCGATTTTATCTAATTTCATTAATAAAGAAAAAGGCAAAGATAAATTAAGCAATTCACTGATGATTGATTGTAAATCACGCTGGAGTTCAACACATCGTTTAGTTCAGTCAATTTTATTTCACAAATCAATTATTGGTCGATTATATGCTGAAAAATATGAACTTAATCTTACACGTAAACAACTTATAAAGTAATCTATTTTTTATGTTGAAATAAGATTTTTTAGTTTCACTGCAGTAGATATAGATTCATTAAAGAACTTTCTGCATTCTTTTTGATAACGTGGTTTCAATTGAATGAATCTATAGAATATAGAATTCATAATATATCAAGGTTGAATGACGAATGGAGTTTATATATAAAAACCAATATTTTCCCACAGTATACTTATCGGGTTCGCTTATAAGTCAATGCGTTATACCGATTTGGTAATAAAGAATTAAATTTCCTATATTCGAAATAATATTTGATAATATTTGATTAAAACAAGTGATAATCATAATTACGTGATATCCGGATGCCTATGTGATACTGTTCAAAAATAATATTGTTTCTTTTTTAGGCTAACTGGATACGAGCTTAATCGAGATGAATGGATTATACTGGATTGTGTTCAAGACGTTTTAAATTCATTTTTTGAAGCAACAAAACTAGTCAGTGGTAAACAATATTCTACAATTGGACTTGGCTATTTTACTGTTAACAATTTAAAAGAATATATAGAAGAACGTGATGGTAATCATGAAGTCGATCAACTAAAGCGTTTGCTACTTAGGCAACTAATCAATTATTTTGACAATGATGCGGATCAGTACGACTTTTTAAAGGTGAGCTATTTATTTAGCATTACCCTCAATGTATTTGACTTATATGAGTAGGGACAAAAACTTAGGGTATGAAATTCATACATTCTTTCTATTTTTATTGTACAAGATGTTATACGCACAGTAGCGAATCATACAATGCACTCAATTATTTTTTCTGAATTATATTCATAGCAAATGATTTATGAAGAGAAAAAGAGAACATTCCGAATAGTCTGAAGCATTAGGTAAAAAGAATGAAATGTTTATTTATTAACAAGGCTGACTAGAATAAAATAGAACAAGCCTAACATTTGATATTTACTTTTGATTAAAGCGATTCAACTGAAAATATTGATATCCATCAACGCATTGTCCTTTAAAATATAATTTATTTGTTCACACACCCACACCCGCATATTCAACTTACTTCAATAAAGAAAGCAAATGGATATGATGAAAAAAGTTCAGTTGCGAATTTCTATTCGCCACTTTCAAAGCATTGTCTAAAATTTTTCTTTTGATTCGATCGATAATTACATAATAAACTTTCCATAGATGATTTATCATTTCAGAAGTTAGCATCTAATATTCTTCAATGGTGGAGTCGGATATCGGTTCTCAGCTAGTTCATGGTATTACTTTTTATTTTCTAGCTAGTAACTTTATTTAGTAAAATATGGAGGTTATTGTTAAGAAGTATCTAATTGATTAATATCCTTGTAGATAATCTAATAAAATATTAGGTCGTATAGTGATTCTTTAAAGAAATTAGTTGAATACGAGTTTAATAATTATATACTGTCAATTCTTCATTTACAGATCATAAGTTATCGTTTAACTTTTTAGTCTTTCGTGAATATTGTGATTGATTAAACGTGTATATAATATGTCCTTTAGTATTCAGCAGCACTGCCACACAACAACAAATGAAGTTTTGAAACTTTTGAAAAATGATATAGATCTTGTTGAGAAAATAAAGCATAATAATTGAGTACTACAACGTTTACAATTTGCTAGCTTATTTATATTGATCTACACAGAAAATATGTACAAATTTTGCACTATTTCTCTCTCTAATTTTAGCGTCATGCTTTTTTCGATCCGATTGGTTTTGGAATATTGGATCATGCAGATCGAACGAAGTTCGAACGTGAAATCAGAAATTTGGACAAAGAACGCATAGAATCGGTGGTCGATTCTGATTTAAGTAGTCGTCATTTACAAGCAACTGCTAAAAAAGCATCGACATCAAATTTACTTAATGGTTTTCTTTCATCTGTTGGCTAACGTCAACCTCAAGGTGCCAAGGAAGTTACAAATTTATCAATAAATAATGAACTTTCGATTTATCGTTCGTTGGCGATGCAAGAATATACTGACATTATAGAGCACTCCAAAAATCACGATCCTATTGGGTTTTGGAATGCACATGGGAATAAATTAAAATTTTTGTCAGCATTGGCTAGAAAACATCTTGTTGTTCCTTGCACATCAGTTCCATCGGAATCAACATTCAGCGTGGCTTCATATCTTGGACGAAAAGAAAGAAGTCGACTCACGGCTGAGAACTTATGTACATTGGTGTTTTTAAAAGATAAAATTAACAAAAGTATTTAGACTGGACAATTAGAATTGGTTCAAATTTGAAAAACTTTTCTTTTTTTCTTAATATGTACTCACGATATATAGTGCTTCTTCATATAACTTTTTGTTGTGGAAGTTTCTCTGTAAATGTAAAATTGAGCAAATTATTTTATTATAATTATTATTAGTATTGTAATTTCACTTTTTTTTATTCAATGATTTATATGTAGTTTTTTTCTAGAAACAACATTTTATGGTAAATTTTGTAAAGACAACTAGACAATAAATCCTGAAACTAGAAGTTATTATTTCTTTAAGGTCATACTAAAAATTCTTAGTATTGGGCTGCTAAGTACAAAGAAGTCACCGAGTGCTGCTTGAAAGGACAATTCAAAGTATATCATTTTCTTCGTAACTGTTTTAAAGTTAACATTCAACGATAATTATTCGATTAAATTGACCATGGAGAAATAAGAAAAAAAACGAATAAAACCTACTTAAATCGAAAAAAAATCATCAGATATGAAAAATAAATTCATTATTAAAGTTCCTTACCATTATATAGCAAGTGCAGATCGAATCTAAACGAAATCGGTACGTGTATTAACACTAAAGCCGAGACTTACCGAGACCGAGAATCTCGACCGAGACGACCGAGACCGAGACGACCGAGACCGAGACTGGCCGAGACCGAGATAGACCGAGACCGAGTACTCGGTCTCGGTACATCCCTAATCAAGACCACAAAAATTGAACGAAAGAATATGAAGAGAAGAGAGAGTAGTAAGATTAACTGTGGTATTGTAAACACTCCACCGAGAAAACAAAATAGACAAGAGTGGACAACTCTCCCACTCCGAGAGAATAGAACAAAATAGTTTAAAGTCGAAGGGAGAAAAGCTCTACTTCGCTTTGCGAAGAAAAGAATTTCTTTTACATGTAGTTGAAGAATTAGAACAGCTGAAGCAGGGTATAGCAGAACGAGAAAGAGACATTAGAGAAATTTTTTTTTATTTTGACTTACCTTTGTAACTTGTATTTTAAATCGTTCGAGTCGACATTTGAGATCAGCGTCTTAATTTTCTTCCGTTATTGTCCTTGCTCGAATCGCCACAAACTTTCAGAATGCCGTCCATAGCTGGTAGTAATAATCGTTTGAAGAACTGGTTAACTTGCTTGAGCAGATCGGCATGCTGATCCGTTTTGGAGTTTAATTCTCTCATATCCTCTTCTAATTTTGTGTTATGCAATTTAAGCGATTCAACTTCTTTTGATAATTCGATATCATGAATATTTTTATCTGCCATAAATTTTTCAAATTTTGTATTCGTTTCATACAATTTTGAGAGTGTCGTGTTAACATTGGCTAGACCTGTTAGGAGATCATTTAATTTTGACATCATTGGACTATCTGACTGAGACCACCCCTTGTTTAGTGCTGGAAAGTTCGGCGGGTTGAAATGAAAACCGTTGTTGGATTTGGTAGAAACTGTTGGCAGTAGTGGTCGATTAATGCTGTTGCTGTTCGACAGGATTTTCCGAGTGAGATCAGCACGAAAAGATTTAACAACAGGGCATTTCATGGAGTTAGACGTGTAGTCTCCATTGCAGTGTTTGCACTTGGGTGATGCAGTGCAGCGATGATCTTTTAAGTCAGTAAATTTTCCACTACATGTTCTACAAGTTTCTGTTAATTCTACGCATTGTTTTCGGAAGTGACCGAGGCCACAGCATTTGGAACATATCAGAACATTAATTGGTGCTAGATATTGATCAATATCGTAGCTGATATAATTAATGATTAACTTTTTGTCAGCTAACAGTTGTCGTCGAATTTCGTAAGAAGTTAATTCGATTTTAACTAGTTTAATGTTGTTGCCGAATTTATTTTTCATTCTGATGACAGTCATCACTGTCGGATAAACCGTCTTTACTTCGGATGTAAATTCATCAAGGTCGATGTTTAAGTCTACGTTCTTGATGATAAGCGGAAGTTACGGTGGAATTGACGGTGACGAAGGAAAGGTGTAGTCTTCACCAACAATTTTCATTGGCCATTTATTTCTGTCAAGAAGAAAAGCAAACGAGGTTGCATCTTTTTAGTAAAGGAAACAATCGACTTCATTGCTGTTGCACTTTAAATTGGAAGTGCGACAGTTAACGATTGTAATGTCCGTTTGATAGGTTGTCTTGGCATGATTGATAATTTCTTCTTTGAATTTATTGATTGAGATTGTGTTGACATTGAAACGTATAATAAGAGGTGGAAACGGATATCTTGTTAACGCAAAGCGTGTTGAAGCTGATGTAATATTCTGTTGTTGATGATCAATATTATTATTGATATTGTTTTAGATCATAATTGGAACAGGTGTAATTGGACTTGGTGCATTATGTACTACATTATCATTTTCTTCGGTAATAACTTGTTGTTGTCTATGTGTTTCTTGTGAACGAATAATGTGAGTCATCGGATGATTCACTTGTTTACTTCTTTTGTGTGCAACTATTTGAAAATCATCATCGTCGGACATATTCGAGTGTGAACGACGTAATGAATAAGCTGGTGAATTAACTAATTCCATGTTGGTGGTGGATGGAGGAGGAACACGTTTTTCCTTGTTTGAGTTCGACATAAAATAAATCTTCGGCGATGGATCGTAACACGAATGTGTACATTGACATTGTTGTTCAGAATGATCGTCATAATTTTGATCACCAATTAAATTATCCACCATATAACAATTGTTTTGATTTATATTATGCCCCTTGTTGCCCTTGAGATGGTAATTAGCCATTGTTTGACTAAATTACCAAATTTTGGGTGTAAAGAAATTAAATATATATATATATATATACCACACCCAATCAGCGTATTTATATATATAAGATAGTGCAGAAGAAGAAGCGAGAAATTAAACGTCCGATCAGTGGTGTATAAAGAACGCGAGTGAGAGAAAACGAATTTAAAGTCACACTACATACAGTAATCAATATGTTTGTATTTGGTTTCTTCATTGATTCACGCTCGTCAAAGTTGTACCAATTTGAGATTGTTGTTGAATATTCAGTTGTTGAGAAGCTTGCTGGTCTTTTTGTTGTTGTATTTTTTGCTTTCGTTTTTTCGCATTCCTACGTTGTACAAGCAATTAGCTAAACTATCTTGAATCCTGTCTTTGTAAAAACTAATATAATGATGCTTTGAGATACGATATCTTGTTCGAACAGTATCTAAAAATAGAAAAAAATATCCATGTTATAGAAATAGTCAAAGATCCATCGCAGTACCATTTAACAGATTAAATCGGTTTTGATCCTGTTCAACCTTCGAAAATCTCTTCGCAAGTGGAGATGGCAATAAACTTGATTCTAATTCATCTGGTTTAAACATTTCCTGCACCAATTTTTGTGCATATTCAGCAGCATTACGTGCTGGTACTTCTAGTAAATCACGATCATCAAATGGCTACAAAATGAAATAAAATTCGAATTTCTTCTACTATTGTCCTTCATAAAGATCGCTCACAATTGTATCTCGAAAATTTTCTTTGCCATCAGGATCGCGATAACGTTCAAGATCTTCATTATTTTTCTAATTAAAACAGTAGATGTTAGCGTCCATAATGAATCACTTGGACGCTAAACGATGATTTAGATGCGCTTTCTAGTATAACGGTAGCACATCTGCCCGGATAGCAGAAGATATGGGTTCGATTCCCATGAAGGTCATCTTTTTCGTCGTTCTGTCACATAACATCAGTGACACTGCTTGTCTCTTTCGTTCTATACATATTAGAGCCTAATAGTAGAACATGATGCCCTAGGAAATGTACTGGGGCCAGGGTATCCACATACTAAGAAAGCCACACCAGGGTACCTATTAAGGGTGCTTAGAAAATTCTCAGTAACCAGACTGTTGTAGGTACTGCATTGGGTACCCATAGCAGTACACTGAAAAAAAAAGTACTCTACGGAACTTAAAAAGATTCCGAGATTTGCAACGAATTCGAAACCCTTTTGCGATGTCGTACGGAACCTTCAAAGTTCCGTATAGTCTCACAAAACCTGTGTCGGTGTCTCGGAGATCTTTAAGGGCTTTGCGAGACTTTACGAAACCCTTGAAAAACCTCGAAGGTTCCGTATGATAAAGAAAAACGGTTTCGAATTCGTTGCAAATCTCGGAACCCTTTTAAGTTTCGTAGAGGGCTTATTTTTTTTTCAGTGTATGTTTCGCTGAAGCAGTACTTATATGAATACCCGCATCTGTAATTTTACTGAGGAAAGCTCTACAGGGTACCCTAGATTTATCGCGTTCTGTGTGGCGTCTGTTCATTCACCGTTTTCTTTTGCGTGAACAGCTCCTTATAAACAATTCGGTGAACCATCAGAAAATAAACTTTTTTCATATTTTTTTTCTAGATTATTTCTTGACTATTTATTAGTGGAGAACATGCCGATCTTAATCGTAAATTAAGATCGGACTACCCTGAACTGGTCGGATGGAGATTCGACCAACTCAAGTCCTGTCAGATCCCGAAATTTGACCTGCTAGAGTTTTCAGAATTGGAAAAATTAAATTAAATGATATCGAAAAAAATTTAATAAATTGTTTTGAGAGAAAAAAAATGAAAAAATTCGAAGATTAGGTTCGACCATCAACGTACTGAAATTTTGGTAACAGAGTACCTAAGCATACTGTGCAATAGTATCCAGTTGAGTACTTGATCAGTACCTTCAAGTACTTATTTACTAGTTGTTTTCCAGCAGGGTGCCTACCTGAGTACCTACACTGAAAAAAAAAGGTTCCATGCGGAACTTAAAAGGTTTCGTGGTGCTTTACTATACTTCAAAAGGTTTCGATCGGAAACACGAAACCTTGTAGTAGTTCAGTTCCATTAGAGGTTTCGCAAAAAACCTTTTCAAGGTTTCGGATTCAACAAGGTGTCGTAATAAAGCTTTTTAAGGTTTGGAATTAAACAAAGTTTTGTAAAATACTCCTATATCCTTTTTGGTTAACATAAGTTGTAGAGTTGCGTTTTCTGTCATTACTTCTTTTGTTGCCGAGTGAAGTTAAAACCAATCACTTATTTTTCCGCTGCTCATCTTATTCTATCTCAAGTTCACTGTTTCTAATATTAAGTACCTCAAGCAAAAGCAAATAGTCGAAATACTTATAATTTATTAACGGCACTATATTTCGAATATAAATGGAACAACCAAAGAACCACGTTGCTTACCTACAAAATTGGTAGAACGCTTTACGTATATATTGTGGCATTACTACAAACGTTGTTCATCTTATTCTTATTCTCCACTTTTTTACATCATTTGTTTTTATCTTTTTATCGTATACTAAGTCTTCGCAGTACAAAAGAAAACTTAAAAAATGTAGACATTATGTATATATATATCCAAGAATCCTGTTATTTAATAATAATATTAAATCAAATATATATGCCAAACTGTCCATGTTTCATCGAATGTAATATAATCGTGCTAGAATTTTTACCTATTACATAAAAGTTCAAATATGCAGAAGTTGTTAATGCTGAAACGACTGTATTGTATTTTATGTGACTAACATAATCTTCTGCATAAATGTAAGATGAACCCTTTAATAATATATTTCCTTATATAAATGTATACAAACTAATACAAACGTTTCCAGCTTGAACCTTTCTTTTATAATGGAGATACTTCTAGTAGCAAATGCTTCAAAAACTATTTTGCACATTTTCCGCTGTTTCTTAGATACTCTTTTACTTATATATTTATTCGTGACCGTTTTCTTTACGATTTTCA